TCTTATGCAAGCATTGACGGCATATACACACAATATCAGGGAAGAATGCAGTTCAGTTTTACAACTCTCAAACCTCTCCTCTGACAGTCTTTATTTGAAAAGTGAGAAATGTGTCTGATGTGTTGTGCAAAGAAACAGTGCATAAAAAAGCGATGGATTAGACTGAGAGTGTATTTTAATTCAGTTCAGTAGCGATAGTATGCACTGATTTCAAAATTTTATCTCTATGGCGTAGTCATTAAACCGCCATTTCGCAGTCATATATAAACATTACATAGTCATTGCGTAATCCATTACGTAATGAAGACAACAGACGGACGTAAATTGAAAACAAGTTAAAAAGAAAAAACGCAAGAATGAAAAAGTACAAGATAATGAGAAAAGAAAAAAACAAAAAAATAATGTAGATGGTTGGAATTTTTGTTTCTTAGAGTATTACGTTTGAATTTGTATGTTATTTTTCCAGTCAAATATTTTTCAAATATGGGAACTACTGAATGCACTGCTAAATCTTCTCATGTTTTTTGACGTCGGTTTATTACAGTTTCAGAGATGCTTATGGTTGTGAAGAAAGAAGTCGGAAAATGATGTGGAAAATAATAAAGGAAGGAGTAAAGGATTAAAAAATACGGAAGTGAAAAAACCAAAGAAAGATAAAGAAAACGATGAATGAAGCTTCTATTTTTTTTGAAGCTTCTAACTTTTGTTGATTCATTTGCACCACGTTTGGAGTTCAACTATTAACAAATACTAATTCAAACTAAATGTATTGCTGAATACATAAAGTATATTTTACAGCTACAGTTTCTGAAGATGTTCAATAATCGCTTATTGATGAGGTGTTCTTTCATTGTTTAGCACACATACGGATTCTAAATTTTTGTTTGCTATACTCATAAGTGGTAAAATGTATTCTGCCTGAAAAGAGTGCTCGTTATTATTACTAATTGCAGAAATATTTAATTTAATTTAATTTAATTTAATTGATTGGTTGGATGATTGGATAATTGCAGTGTGAGTTATTTTGACAGATCTGTACTGGAGATCTCGTGGAATTAGCACGTAACTGTATGAGTGTAAATTGATAGGTCTAGTCTATCAGAAAAAATGAGAGAAAATGACTTGAATAAAAAAAAAATGTTCTTAACATTAGTATGGAAAAGTGTTTCAAAACTCATTGCATCAATCACTTCCTCATTCTTCTCTTACAGTTTCCATAGCCTTCTCTTTCTTCATATCTATCCCTTCTTTGTCACTAATAAATTTCACTGAAGCAGTTGAAAGTAGCTCGATTTGAGTGAGTCTTTGAGAGTGATGTTAATTAGAATCTGAACTTCGAGAGCTTTCAAGCAGAAAGGTTGTGAGATCAAATTAGCTGCTATAATGAATGACTAAGAATTGCTAGAAATAAATTGAGAAAGTAAGAGAAGAGTGAAAGATTAATTGATGAATGAGTATTTTAAACACCTTATATGACAGTTAATGTCACATTGTGATGCCTTCAGGCATTATCAAACGTTGTATCACAATAATGAGATACTGCTGTACACCGCTGAATTTTTTATACTTCTGAAGGTCCTAAATTTGCAAATTACAGACGTATGGATTAGTTTGCATGTACACATTATTCTTGTGCATGTTTTTTTGAATATGTGTGAATATATGCTTGTGTGATCGTGCATGTGTGTGTCTGCGTATGTGCGAATGTGCTTGTGTCCAGCATTTGTGGTTTTGTGAGTGTTGCTATGTCATGCTTCATTTTTGTTCAGTTTCATGAACATGTGGGATTGTATGTGAGCGCACATGCACGTATTTTTTGTCCATGTTGGAGTCTGAATTTCACTTATTTATTCATTTAATATTTCTGTAGTAAAAATTTTCAAATGTAAATATGCTATGATCGAGGCATTTTGTTTTCAAATCAATGATGACATTGATTGTGTCATGTGATAGCTCAATTCATATCAATAATTTAAAAGATAAAAACGTCTAAAGATTACTTTGTTAAAAGATGTCAAGTTAAATTTAAATATGGTAAATGTGTTTGATTGTGGGAATTTGAATATAAAATCGTGGGTAACAAATTATATTTTTATTTATTTTATTGTAATTTTCGGATGGTTGCGTTGCGATGAATATTGATGCAGCTGAAAAATGCTGCAAAAACAAAGCAACCAAAATTGATGATGATGATGATGATGAAGATGATGTGTTACTTAATTGCACCTTTATAACTGATCATAATGATAAGTGAGATAATTATTTTTGTTATAGACAAAAGCGGAATTGTAATTAGCAACAAATTTTTTGAATTAGGTGATTAAATGATCATGTTTTTATGAATCCATGCAGCATATCTTCACAAAACATAATAATTGAATCATCATCTTCATCTTTTACCTGAAACGCACTTTAAACGGTCATGGATTTTTCTCAAAAGATATGCTGCTCGAAATGAAGATAATCATTTTGTTAATAGCTTGATGATAATCACACACCTGGCTTGATTTTTATGACTCCCTTATTCATAACTTTTGATATCTACACATGCATTTCCTGCACTTGTAACAATAGAATCACAAGTATTTACTGAGTACAGAATTTGTACTTAGTTACTGTTCATGACATCATAATTTTCGAGCTAGTTAATTAGTTTTATATATGTTTTTGTCACTAAAAGATTTCTGTAAGGTATTACTGAACACGGATTACAATTTGATAATAGTAAATTGTAAGTAGTCGTGATTTCGTGATTAAAATTTACACGAAAAACAGACATTGGTGCCTTGCAGATACCGAATAAATAGTCGATTTATTGAATGCCGCTGTCCATATTTGATTCCTCACATGAAATTTGATGAAGGGGCAGAGCACTATATAATAAAAACACCAGTTGACATAAAAATTGTAAATTAGATTAATTTGTACTCTATTTTTTCATCTTTAGTGCACAGTAGATATATCTGATTTACTTTTGCAAGATTTGAAAAATAAGTGAGTTTTTGCTAATTATTTTAATAATTAAACATGTCGAATTTGAGAAGTATAAGTTTTCATAGTTTTTACGGTTATAGTTGGTGTAATTCGGTGACAGTGAATTTTTCAGATAAAAGCAATCTTTTACATTTTAAAATACGGAAGCACAGATGTAGAGGACTGGCTTCAATTAGAACGAATCATCCAAGTGGTTTGTTTTTAGATCGGAAGTACAGATTATGATTTCAGTAATTTGTAATCACTGTTAACTCTTTTGATTAATCTAAAAGTCTTCCATAATTTTGTTTGATTAATTCTTGGAACAAAATTAGCCATGATTTAACCATGATCGCTTAGTTAGTCCATTATTGAACTTTGACTTCCTGTCAGAGCTTTTTCTAAAAAAAGTTATCTAATTTAGACAAGTTGAAAGCAAGTTATCAAAAATAGTATTTGATAGCAATTTTTTGTTCAATTTTCAACAAATGGATTTTATTAAATAGTTGAAAAAGTCAGGATTATGCACAAGCAAAAAACTCATACTTCTCTACAGGCGAATCAATGGAAATTGGTTAAGGTTCCACAATGTATAATTCAAAGATTCATTAGTCGTATCAATGAAGAAAACTGCATTTCTGTCTGGCGAATGTCTATCAAATACTCTCCCAGTGATGCTAAAAAAGTTTCATATTAGTTATTAATACAGTTATTAATATTGAACGCACTCAAAAACTTGTAATTGCAAATTTAATTAGCAAATTGGTAGTATTACTTTTAAACTTTTTAATTTTAGGTTTTTGAATATGTACTGTACACGGTAAATGAGTCTGTCAAAAAAAGATACAATATTGATTTTTTCCGTCTTCGAAGTCATGACTTATTTCAAATTCTGGATGCTGATTTATTAAAAATAGATAGCGAGGTCAATTCTTCATTAAATATTTTATTTCCAAAACAATGAGGTCGAATAACACCAAAATCCAAACATTCTGTGAATCTGCAAAATTCTTTTCCTCAGAAAATCCAGTTGGAACACAAAAGTTTCATATTTGAAGTTAGATAAATCAATTTTTCAGATAGATGTATGGAATTTGTTAAAAAAATGGATTTTAGCAGATCGCAAAGAACGTTTTGCAGCATGTCGTTATTTACTGAAATCAATTCGTTACAATTTACTGAATGATGCAGAGGTACAGTAAATTGATTGCTAACAGTGACAGTATTTGATGTTTTGTGGATGTTAACTTAATTTACTGCTATATTTAAACTCACCAGATTGAAACAGCGCAAGTATAAAACTAATTAAGTAAATGTGACTAAAATAGCTAAATTAAGACGATAATGTCAGCAAGCATTTATTGTGGTTTTCTAGAAAGCTCAAATCAAGAATGATCTTAATCGAATGAGAATTACAACTGGTAATAAAAAAAGCATTTCTTGGTCGACAATTAATGAATATAGAAGTCAACGTGATTTCATACTTGCCTTTGGAGGCTGGGAAAAGACTGGACCTTCAAATGCAGCAGAAGTATTAGATATATTCAAAAATCAATGGCGAAGTGCGCTTACGATTCAGGATAAACGTAAAGTTGCATATCACGAAAACATCGTTATTGCTAATGTAACATTCCTTCACACTCAGGAGTTTGAGTAGGACTGAAATTCATTACTTCAAACTTGTGAATATTCGAAGTAACTGTAAGAATGGAATTTTATTCTTCCAATAATCTAGAATTCACTTACCAGTAAGCAAAGTAGGAATCCAAAATTTAGATTTCTGCATTCAGAAATTATATGTCATTGGTGGTTTCGATGGAACGCAATATTTTAATACAGTTCGTTGTTATGATAGTAATACAAGAGAATGGATGGAATTAGCACCGATGCACCATGCTAGGTGGTAGATCTTTCTTATAAATATCAAAATATTACTCGCATCTTATTTATTATAGTATAATAAAGATTGAGACACAATCTTCAGCAATCACTACTTTGATCTTTAAAGTTATAGGGTTCTTTTACTGACTGGCTCTGAAAATTGTCATCAAATTTTTTTCAAGAATCACTAGTTCTTGTAATTTTTCATTATTTATTATTTTGTTTTAATGAAAATTATATTTAAACTTTTCTTCAAAATTTGTATTTATATCGGTTTTTTTTGTAAATGATTTCTATATTGCAATTGAATTTATTAATTTTGTGCAATTGAGTATTGTTATTATTGTTGTTCCAGTATGATTACAGATGTATCCAATATGATTACAGATGTTACAATCCAATATGATTAGTTGTATCCAAAATGATTACAGATGTTACATAGCTGCTTGTGAAATAAGAGGTACAATTATTGTTGCTGGTGGTTCTGATGGACGTACCCGACTTAAAACAGCAGAAATGTATGATGCTAAAAAAAATCAGTGGACTAAAATTAGGTTCTTAATGTTTACATATATCACACTTTAATCTCTCAAATATTATTTGTTTTACAGCGAAAATTTAAATGAGAAAAACTGTTTGTATTTTAAGCAAAAAATAAAAGATCTTTTAAATTTCATACATAAGTTCAGTATTTTATTTGGTTTCTAATTTTCATGCATTCTATTTCAGAAATATGCTGCAACGACGATCAGATGCAGCAGCTTGCGCTATGGGTGGAAAAATGTATATCGCTGGAGGATTTACTGGTGAAACTGTGTTGCAGACAGTTGAAGTTTATACACCTGAAACTGATATTTGGGTTGAAGTTGCTCACATGAGTACACCGAGATCTGGTTAATTACTACCTTTCAATAAATACTAAAAGATGGCTATTGCTTACAAAGCTTTCACCGAATCTCAATATTTAATGCTTTGTTTCGGAAAATTTTTTTCCCGTATATCTTTAAATGTAATCCATTAACAAATTACAACAAAGCAACTTCAAAGTATGAAAAAATCTATCATTATTGCCAATTTTGAGCAAATGTAGAAATTTTTTGAATCTGAAAGGAAGCTTTCGAGTATTCAAAGATAATTAAATAGTCAATAATATTGAAAATCTTATGAATTTGCGATAATTTCTGTTGAGAATTAGCAAAAGCTGTTTTGTATCTTTTTTATGAACTTGGTTTATACAAATTCAGCTCTTTATTTACATTTCTGTTTAACTATAATCATTTTCGACCATCAGTTTGTTTCCATGCATTTCTTAGTTCTTTGTGACACTGTAAAAACAGTACAAATTTTTAGGTCTTGCATGTGTAGCAAGTACAGATTTTATGCTAATTGCTGGTGGATTTGATGGTATAAATCGTTTAAGTACCGCTGAAATATTACGTATTGGAAGTGCTCACACTGTTATTGTACAATCAATGCCGATTCCGAGGTTAAATTTTCAAAATAAATTACTCAGTTGATTCACAAATTGTTTAAAAGGCAAAATAAGAATTATTTAGACAAACATATTTACAAAGTTCGAAATTTATCTGTAATGCATTAAGTTTTATTGACATAAACTCATAAAAAAATTCGTGACAGTATTTAATGGTATGACCTCTCACTAAACTAAATTTTATGTCTAAATTTTAGTTGAAAATTTAGGTCAAATTTTGCTATGTGTAAAATGGGTAATTATTTCTATGCTGTTGGTGGCTATAGTACGTCGGTAACAAAATCAGTGCTACGCTTTGATGGCAAAAAATGGGAAAGAGTCGCTGATATCTCATCAGGAAGAAGTGCCTTAAAAGTGGTGATTTTGAAGGCTTGGCCAGATCCAATGGAATTATTTTATGAAGATGTTACCGTGAATTCTGAACCAAGAAGTCCTTGTCCAAAATCAGTCAAATCAAAAGAACACAGTGATGGAGAAATAAATGCGTAAAATATCAAAAAGCATATTCTGCATGCTCCTTATCTTCAACTATGCAAATTTATACCTAAATGTTGATTAATTTGACAAATTTAATAAGTTTTAAATTCATTAAAGTATGACGTCACATATTTGAATATAAATTTTTCTACTGATTTACTTGCGCATATTTACTGATTCAATTAAATGTAAGAAATATTATGTCTCTTATTACTAAATTTATGAAGTCTTTATTATGTGAAGTAAGTAAAAATAGTGAGATTTCCAACTGCTAATAATTTCATGAAAATTTAAAAAAACTAATTTTAATATTCTCATGAAGCATCTAGTTTAGTTCTTCCAATATTCGCAAAGGCTGAATTTCTCTAAATTTTTTAGTTATTAAAATTTGATGACTAGAAATATGTTTTCTGTAGGAAAAAAAATGGCATCAATACGTGCAAGACTAAGAACTGGAAGTTTACGTGAAGTTTTCTTTGAATCAAATAGAACAGTCATCAAGAATCATTGTTATTCTAGGCGTTATTTCTTTTATCTATCAGAAGCGTTGATTAAATTAGGGTTACACTTATCGCATCTTAATTGTTTATAATCAAAAATTGTTTCAAAAATCGAATTTTGAATTTTTTCAAAAAACCATGCGCTTGCGTCTGTTCTAGTAAATAATTAATAAACTTATAGTTGTCATAAGCGAAATGTTAATTAATATTAATTGATATTATTACAAAAACTCTGAAGAATTTAGTGCATAACAAATATATGCAAAGATATCTAAGTTATACCTAAAATTACACGAAACACTGAAAAACTAGAACAATTTAAGGCCATAAATTGCTTCTGATGAGATCTGAATCACGAATTTATGAAAGAGAAGGGTAGATTTGAATATATTTCAGAATCTGAAAGAATTGTTAGAAGGGTAGGTTTGAATATATTTCAGAATCTATCAAACTTGGAGTCAACCTATGCAATTTTTTATCCATCAAAAAAGTATCGTTTATTAAAATCAGATTTTTCTTTCTTCATTGGCAAATACAATATCAAAGTTCACATAAAATTTGTCAATTCGAAAGAAAAGATAAAAATCGTAGTTACACTTTCAATCTTTGCAATCATAAAAGAATAAATTTAGATTTATGAATTATAATTTATTCATTTATGTTTTTACATCTTTAGCCATAAAAATTTCAAGCAAAAGGATGCATGTTTGTTTAATTCCAATTTGCGAAAACTAAACCTTTGATTGACGCTATGTTTACTTTTTATACAATACTATAAATTTTAACAGTTGCACTGAAATGAACAAAAAATTATGCTTCCAGTGCTCTTTCAAGATATTTACGTTAGAAGTGTATAGACATTACGTGTGACTCTTATTATGGGGTTTGAAGTTTTTCATAAATGCTTTCAGCAAATATTTCACACTGTTTCTAACTTTTGCCACTTACTGATAGCATTCAAAATGCGAGTTTTATTCAAATAAAAATTATGGTTCTTTGATATATTTGTTGAGAATTATTAAAAAAAAACGAATTATTACAAAGCAAGTAACGATTTTAACAAAATTCTTCAATATAATTGAAAATATATTGAATTGTAAAATGATAATTTGCAAAAATTTTAATTTTGCGCAGCCTGTCAAATTTTTGGCTCAGAAAGAAGTTAATTGAAAAAAAACTATACTAGACGCTTTTTACGTCAAATTAATTTCTTGATTTCTACTTGAATTATAGCATTACAATAGTATCCTCATTCCTTTAAAGTTTAATTTCTTACAGTGCAGTGCATTTTCACACAGCGCATACTTCTAAACAAATAACTGGTTTTTAAACTTACAAGCTATATGCTTTTGCAAAATTTAGCACGTTTTTAAGGAGAATTTCAAGATTGGTTCTGCATAATACGTTGTTCATAAAGAGCAAACAAACATATGATGGCAAATACAGAAGTTATTCAAACCCTGGCAATCTGTGCATTTCTGCTTCTCGAGGTATCATCAATTCTTTTATTTTAATTAGTAAGATCAATCCCAACACACTTTTCCAACTGTTTCTAAAACATCGCAGATTCTAGCAATATTTGTATTTGTTTTGGTTTCGTAAACTGTAAAACATTAACTTTGAAAAGAAATTGTATGCAACTGATTTTTGCAAAGTAATAAGTGAAAGTTAAATTTTTTTTCAAAGAAGACTCAAAATTATGTAATGCTGGCGAACTAAAATTTATCTATATATCAACTACTACTGCAGAATGAAATAGCAAATACGTAAATTTCCGTCAGGTAACAACTGAATTAAATTTATCGAACATTTTAGTGTGCATCCATCGTCAAATCTATTTCCATTATTCCGAACATACTACTTGTTCAATATCGCTTGAAAAATGAGCAGCGTACTATCTCGTCACATATAGAACAATTAACGGATTTAATGCAGATGATTGAAGGTAAGCGAAAACATTACACAATCGGCAGTTATTGTACAAAGGCAATCAAATTTTGGCACAGAACCTTGGCGCAGGTGGATTATCCAAATATGTTCCGGAACGTAAGTACTTGACTTCATCATAAAAGTACACCATACCTTAAGACCTACGTTCTCAACTTCTAATTAGCAAAAACAGAAATAAATGAGTTATTCCTACAAATATGTATAGCCTTACGTCGTTCTAATTCAATAAAATGTTTTGCTAGTTATATTTAAAATCATCTGAATTTTTCATTTTTAAATAATCACAAAAATAGCTTTAGAGTTTTCAAGCATTTATTTTACTACCATAATTCTATTGACAGGTGGAAAATTTCTATGTAGAAAAGTACCGGGATTACCAATGCCAAAAGTACCAAATTAAAAAAATTATATCGGATTATAACGACATATTATTTCGTCTCCACGTTCATCATAAATTACAACCCATAGTAACGTATTACCATTATTATTGGTCGAAAAAATCGCGAAACTTGGATGAATGCTTAATTGAACTGAATAAATTGCTTGAATCTTTTAATCTTATCTTAAACAATACAAACACAACTGACGTGTTATCTTTGCCGTCTCGAATAACCTCAGCATCCCGGAAAGACGAGGTAAAGCTTTAATACTGCAAGCGCTAATAACATTACGCAGTAGCTAACAAGTCAAGTGTAACTAAAAATTATCAGAAGAGCTTACGGTGCATTAAATCATTCAATATACTTATGGCAGTTACGTCACTTGAATGATTTTCATAAATTTGACTAATTATTCACTTGCAGGGAAAAGCATCATCTAGTTCGAAATATGTGTCTGTTAACGGTTACATGTTAAATATGCTAACAGATGTAGAGAAGATATTGGAAAAAGAAGAAAAAAGAATAAACAACCTTATTGATAACTACAAACCACGAAATAATGGACAAGATAACATCAGAAACGACTTACGCATGCTAATACTGCTATCTCGTCAAATGTGGCACATTACCTTCACAGTACGTCTTCGGAAACGCTACGCCCTAGGATTTCCTCAGAATCAATTAGACGCCAATTCTTCAAGAACAACTAATTTTCTATGAAACTTGCAGAAGCATAATAATATTTCCCAGCTAGCCTTATAATTTAACCATTTTCCTTCAAACTACCCTTCATAGCTGTCACAAGGGAAACTACCAAGAGTTGTTAATAAAAAGTCAATGAATGCTCGACATTGATAAGACTAAAAGTAACACATTAAAAATACTCATACACGACTGCATTCTTTCTGCACACTACTGACAAAAATTTACAACGTTACTTATGCATAATTAGTGATCAATATTGCAATTTTTTGCGCAAAATAAAAATACAAAGAAAAATAGCTCTGTGCAATCAATCCATTCAGTTCGATATTAAAGTATCATCTCTATGCAACCACATCACTCATGAAGTTTTTATGCAAAAATGCAGATCAAAAAAATGTATCCATGAAAATAAATACAAACGATAATTGTAAAGGTTTTGACGTTTAGCAAAATATCGAAAATTTTCAAATGTAGAAAAATCAAATCATATTATCGCTTACAAAGTATGCCAAAACTTTACGACTTTTTCCAGAACCAAAATTAATCAATTACTTAAATGCTTGGATCCAAACAACACTGGAAAAGTACTAAAGGAACTGAAGATGAAAATAAATGAACATGATTTGAGTATTTCATCATTGTTATTAAATAGAACAAATCACCAATCTCATCAAAAAAATGAAACATCGATGAGGGTATTTAGAACCATTATTTATATGAGTAGGCTATAACTAAATTATAAATATCCCCTGAAAACTAACAGTTCAAAAGTGTATAGCAAAAAATATACAGAAAAATGAAATACATACAAACTAAATTTTTGGCGACAGCAAGGAAAATCTTGCTTGCACCAGCGTTTAATCACAAGAAAATTAAATTCGGTTTAAACAAAGCCAGTCTCCTGACATTTTGCTACAACCTAAATATTTCCAACAGCTAACCAATGCAACTACTGAAATGATCTCTTACACTCACAAAGAAGTGAGAGAACGAAATAGACAAAAGATGCAGTGAATACGTATATTTCAGAAATGATTCAATAGCAATAAAATTCAGAACACAAAATGTAGAAAACAAAAATCACCATTAAAGGCAGTAAATAACCAAGAAATCTACTTCAGATAAAAAAACCTTGTAGATTGTGCCACTGTCCGCTAACGAAATCACTATTTTGACATGGATGCAATGCTATACGACGTACAGTTTTTTTGGGAGAGATTCGTCTACGTAACAACCTAAAAATGATTATGAAGCATAAATGCTCACTAAATGAGTGATGTAAAAATTTGTTACATAAGGATATATAAAAACTTGAATTGATTCTTTTGATAAAAACAATCAACTTCGAAATATACATATATACAGCTTCAAATAAACGGTAGTATCCTAAAATTACTGAACAGCAGCTTGATAAGTACTTCAAGTTATTTTTTGAAGACAAAAAATTCAGTAGTATTAACATCACATTTCCAGGGCACAAAATTTGTTTTAACTAACGGAAAAAGTGCAACATGCATAAATTTCAATTCTATATATGTTTCAGTAATGCAAGTTCTAAAATCGTTCCACGGACAATTTGTATGCGCTTCAAAAAACAGTATGATGTAGAAAAATTAACATGCAGTAAAAAGTGCTTCGAATACAGAAATAAATGATTAACATTCGAAACATATACTTAATACGTTTTGTTCCTATACTGATAAATCTATTTTCAAATAAAATAACTTAAATGCTAAATACCTGCCCACTTTCTTTAATAAATTATTAAACATGCTCAATTAACAACAAATGATCTCTTCATACATTTAAAATTTACTTGCTGTATCAAAATCTTAGCGAAAATACAGTCAAGTGATGAACAGAAGGAACTGAGCAATCCAAGAATAATTTTATTAATTTGATTGGATAAGCTCTCAAGTTGATCATAACAGTGAAAAATGATTCTAAGCTTTCTGCAACTCGTGTATTACTTACTTTAATCGTGGTCCAGCGAGAAATAAAAGTTTCTCATCCATGCCACTCCATCGACTATCTGCATGAGTATTTCTTATCCTGGATGTGCTTGCGGTTGCTGGTGCAGTAGTTGAAGTAGTTGTTGCAACAATTTTTCTGTCATGCATAGCAGAATCAATCCCAATCAGAAGTGCCGGCTGCGGAATTTGTGTCTGTGGTGGAGTAGTAGTAGCAGCAGTAGTAGTTGCAATGCGTGATGCGGTTCCCATAGCCTGTATTCGTTGCGCCTGTTGTTGCTGCTGAATAGTTGCAGCAATAAGCGCCGGACTAACAGAAGCTATAGTAGGAGGTACAAGAACAGAAGTAGGTATTGACAATGGTGTTACGGCAGCAACCGGCCGATTTGATTCATGTGCAAAAGTGTGCATAGTGCTATTGGTGACATGAGCTAAATGTGGTTGCTGATTGCGGACAGTATTGCAAACTACTTTGCCCGGACTCAGTGATCTGTTAAGAATGGCGTTGGTGATATGTGCACCGGAATGAATCGCAGCAATCTGTGAAGACTGTGGAACTGCCTGCAACGTCTGTGGTGTCAGTTGTGATGGTGGTAATGCTGGTGGTGGTGGCGTAGCTCCAGGTGTAGTGCTTGCAATAGGCACCAGTGTCGGATGATGGTAATGAGAATGAATGGTACTACCGGCTGGTACCAGGTGCACTGCACTTTGTGGTTGAGAAACCGTTTGTTGCAAATGCTGCAATGAGAAACAAAAAGGAAGGAATGTTTCTAAAGATGATCACATAGAAGATGCTATCTTAAACTTAGAATCTGTCTGTATCCTGACATTTAGAATAAGCACAGAAGTTAGATATAATAAAGCTGTGTATTCTCAATTGACTGAGTTCACTTAAAGCACTATAGTCTTTTACTATTAAAAGACTTCATATACCTTGATTTTTTCGTAGTAATGTAATAAAAAGACTTGAAAAAGCCAACATAACGAATTTCAGCAATAACTAGAAAACTGCTGTGTTTTATTAAAAAATATTCTTTTTACCAAAGGAAAAAAAAATTTCATGGAGTAAATTTAAAGTTCGCAGACAACAAATCAAAATCAACTCACCCTACAAGCAAATGCAAACTTGGGTTTTATAAATAATATGCAGTTAAAACCTTTTTAATATAACTTTCTTCGAAGGTTAAAAAATGTGACAGCTAGAATCAAATCCGCAACTAATATTCCTCTGGTTTCAATAGAAATTTTTTCAATTATTTTAAAAATAACTCATTTTCAAGTGACCTGTCCAAATTTTCAAAAATTACTTACGATTCGCTGTGGTAACCAAGACATACAATAAAGTAGCTTTGAAAACAAGAGTTTTTGCATTGTAAGCATTAGTCAACTCTAATACAAACACTGATAGCCAAAATGAAAGGAAAACCTACTGCCTAATTCAATTCAGATCTTACTCTCATATGTTAAAAAATCAAAATTTAAAAACATAAAAATCTTAAGTCATAACTGCTAAAAAATCTATTTCAACTTGCACAAGAAAAATTAAATATAAAGCCGTTATAAAGCTGTGTCAGTGTTGGAACCATATACAGCTCTAAGTGTAAATTTTACGAAAAAAAACAGTGCAGTTGAACTAAATCTGCAAACATATTAAAACGCTCACTGTAATGTGCAAATCTTTGCGATTTTATCGACAAAATTGAACGCAAGAAATCATGCTAGGAGTGAAGAAGACTTTGAGACAAATTTAATTTAATGGTTTCGGAAAACTTTTGGTGAATCTTCTAAAACATCAACTCACTATTTTCGTAAAAATGAGAGATCAAAAAGAATGTAATAATAAAATCTACCGATCGCTTCACTACTGGTCCACCTTTATCATTTCCATGTCGTTTATGCGTATTCACTGCTGATGCTGTTTGCGAGAGCTGAGGATTAGACGCTATGATCGATGAAGCTAGCTGAGCAACAACTGCATCCGGAAGCTTGTTAGCTTTAATTTGTTTTGCTGCTCGTATTATTTCAAATGGCTGTCGAGTTGTGCCTAAAAATTAACTAAAACCATGAAATACTAGAGAACCAATCTCTGAGAGTTTGCTTTAAAAATTCCGACAATGTCAGGACACGTAACTAGAAATATTTCTTACATTATTAAAAAAGTAATAACCTTACCATAAGCTGATGCAGCGTAACAGAACTAGTGTTCTTTAATTAAATGAAAGATTGATAAAAGCAGCCACAATTTAGAAGAGCAGAAGCAATAGAAAAATATAGATGCAGTTTAGATTTATTATGTAGATGTTAAAACTAAATGTAATGAAACGCGTTCAATGCTTTTTACAATTCACAATAATCCAATAAGCGTGCTTATTTGGTCTAACAAAGTGATACAACCTAATCAATTTCCGCATGAAATGGCACAATGAATATTAGATTATAGTAATTTGCTAGTTACTTGTTAAAACAATACTTTGTAATGATCAGATTGAATCACTTTGCTAAAGAATAAAACCTTACAGTAGTGTTTAATAGCATGTCCATTGATGGGTAAGAAAGGACGTCGAGCAGAACGTCGTATATTAAACAACGATTTTGGAGCCAACCGTCGCGCTATTCGCATAGATAAAGTCGTATTAAGATAAAATGCAACGCGAGTTTTCACTACAGACGGATGAAGTCCCCCAATTAATTTATATTGTGCTTGAGAAAGACCGAGTGCTGCCACACGTCCTTTCACATGTCCACTATTGGAGCGACCATTAACTTCGCTCCTAGTCTTAAACAAAAAACAACAAAATGTTTCGAAAAGATTTCATTTTTTTGAATTTGCATGACAAAGAATGATCGATTCAACCAATAAATTTTAATCTATGAACCAACAATTTGAGTTTCCTTGCATTTAGAAAATTTTTAACAGATTGAAATATTCAAAGTAGAAGAACAAAAACGAAATGTGAATGTTGAAATGAGATCAGAGTGAAGTCAAAATAACTAGAAATTGATGTTTTCAAACTTTAACAACTCTGTCGTTCACCGATGTATTGCAAGCAGATGATTCTGAGCTTCGACCAATTAAACTAGGAGTGGAAAGAGTAGTTGGTGCTTTTTGTGGAAGTACTTGTGATTGTGCTATCAAATCTTGCGTTGTAGCACCATCAAGGTCGTAAGATTCTAAAATAAATGAAAATGAAGAATTCCTGCGACACTGGTTAAAAGTTTATAAAACTAATTTAAAAAAGAAAAAAAATGACAGTAAACATTATGAGCAAGACTGTACAGTGAACCTTAACATAAATATGAGTAATTAAATCAAGTATTCAAATATTCATTTGATGTAGATCATATATCACTATGATTTTGATAAAAAAGATCACTTGCATGACGCAGATAAATTTCGTAGCTAATAGTTACAATGATCAGATATCATCACACATTTAAATATTCCTCTGCACTTCAAGCTAAAGGAAAGATCAAAGACAAAAAAATTATTGGATTTACATCAAACTGGTATAATCAATGACCTAGATGAAGAATATAACAAAATGAAACCAGCTTTTATATCCTTTACGATTGACAGAACATAAAAAATATACAACTGGAAAAGTCGTTTACTTTCCAAGCTATAGGGCAAAATGTTGAAAGCTCGACTAAAAGATTTTGATAAAAACTGGCTAACCATATTCATGGACGCGCTGCAAGCCACCATACTTCTTCCAACGCGACCAACAAACACTACACAAGCGAAGCTGTAGATGTGCCGGACCCCATGCATACCAGTGAGTTGATTCATCAACTTCACAGCTTTCACAAGGTGATGTGCCTTTCATTGACTGTCCACTGGGATTTGGTGGTCCAACCAAATTTGGATTTGGCTTATTGTAATTTGGAATGTACACTTGTTTTAGTTTACTTTCTTGTTCAACTGCTTTGTTTTTCTTGATTTCAACGTAACGATTTGTTGTCTTCCACATATAATAATATTCAACAATATCGCGCATTGCTTTCCAAGGCAAGTAATCGGCACGTATATCACTGAAATCTTTGCCATACTTCTCAATCGCTTCTTCAAAAAGAGTAGCTTCGGCTGCTGACCATTCTTCCATTTGATCACGACATAATATTGGACCACCCAAGCTAACAGTATTATGTGATGTTGTTTTATCTGCATCTAATGGATAATGTTGTTTGCTTGGAGGAGGTACCAAATATTTGACACCCTGAAACAAACAGCTCAATTACAGATGAAGAACTAAAGAGTTCACACATAATCAATGTCATTAGTTCTTTTACAAGAAGACATTACCAACTCAGCTGTTGTAGCCTCAGCTTGTCTTCAAAGAGATGATTCTCAATCCTAAATATTAAAATCGTAAATGAAAACAGTCGGAAAACAGATTCGGTTTGAATAAAAAACTCCGTGAAGAGTGTGAGAGAACACTTTGCCAGTATACCGAGACTAGATGCCAGCAAAATGATCACTCATCCATGAATCGAGGTCTTACAAACATGTAGCCAGTAAAGGTGCTGAAAGCGGTTCTTGTTTCGGAAGAATGTTGAGAGAGAGATGGCGCCATTGTGTCGTTCCTAGTATAACGAAAAGTTTTTGTGTGCAATTATTTCCAAGAACAAAAGAAGCAAGCAAATTCTGGGATAACCATAACATCGTGGATGAGTTTTTAAGAAGCATCAAATCCAGATGGGCAGTGGTACAGAAAAGCAGTGGAAAAACTACTATAGAAAAGAAATTATAAAGATAAGTGCAGATCGACCGAATGTCACGATCTACGATAAGAAGCCATGTGAAGTAATTTTGATGAGGTTGGCATCACTAGTCAGGACAGGTTGATAACAGTTGCGATCGCGAAGAAACAAAAGTATGATTACTGGCTGCTAATAAACTCGGGGAGATGAAATGTAGAACGAAAATAATTCCGTATGCGATGGCATAAGATGGATGTAATGAACTTCCATAAACGCTACGCAAAGGGGATCAGTATATCTGATCACGTTGAGGCATATAACCAAACAATAGTGCTCAAAAAAAGGCTTGAAAACATCTAATTCGATCACCATTCTGGATTCGACAAGGATGAAGCAATGAAGATTAGCTGAGCACGGAACAAGTACAGCCAGAGTGGCAGTATATTAATTTGATTTGTTTAGGAAAGTATTTAAATTCATGAGACTAGATAAATTCGAACTATTTACCAATCCTATGTCATAATTTGCTTGATGAAGGAGAGCCATTGCATGAAAAAGCGTCACATCGCGACTAGCTGCAGCTGCAGTCATGTGTAAAGAAGGCAACTTCATTGAGGAAGATGTATCCAATGCACGTGAAAATGTCCCAACAGCTCTGAAAAATGTATACAATTCGAAAATAAAATAATTCCTACATATAGACAAATAAAATCAAATTGTCAACTGTACCTTGCGACGATGAGAAACTGGTCAATATCACGGTCTGTCAAACTATGATGAGGATGATAGACCAAAAATTCACGATCTGTTGTTGCTACAAAAGGCTCATCATCATCATCATCATCATCGTCATAATCATCATCCTCTTCTTCAGCAATCACCAGATTTCTGAAAACAGTTTTTACTGCAAACGCGAAACAAGAAACAAAATTTGTAAACTATGAGATAGAAAGAGTGGAATTTACCCATTCTCTTTATTTTCATCTACAGCATCTGGTGCCATATCATCGGGGACCTCACACTGATATTTTTCGCCAACTCGTATTTCACCTTTATCAGCCAATAGCGTCATCGCAGTTGGATCATACACTAATGAATAAAAAAAAGCATCCTGAAAATTACACATTCCAATATTGAGTCATCTATAAATTCTATAAGTCGTATTTTTTCATCTGAAAATTTTTTCCTAAGACTTTAATTTGTTTGCACTCACTTCACGATATAAATACATTTCTGAAGTTTCCACTTCACTAAGTAACGTCACATTGCATTTACCACGAATGTGTGTCGCTGGAAGAGAATCGACTTGTCGAGTTAAAAAAAGTTCATGTTGTCTGAAAAAAATTTTGGTTATTAAGGCAGCATTTAATAGCATTTTGAATGATCTTTTTTTTAATATACACTGCATTTCACAATAAAAAATATATGAAAAATTTTTGCTACAAAAACTTTTTCATTCTTTCGCTCAAAATGATACCTAAGTATGTGTCTGTTCTGTGAAGACAAATTTTCAGCTCCTTTTGGAAGACCCGCAAAACCATAGCCACCCTCACACGATGGTTCTTCTTCCCGATCTTTTGGTTCCTCTTGTTTTTCAACTAGAAACAAAACAAATAATAACAAATAAACATGTAAGCAATAACTGACATTAGACTTCTAGAAAATACATTGATAAAAACCTGAAATCTCATTCTACTGAACGAAATCATAATAATAAAAAAAACTTTTATTTTGTGAATCCATCTCTTCCTCATCGCTATCTACACACACTATAGGCTTTGGCGAATTGCTTTCTTCACGATTGCTCGTTGCAGATGTATTATCAGTTTTAATTTCTTGAGTGCTTCGTACATCATTGTCTGATGAGCTTTCGTCATCTATAAAATGCATCAGTCAAAAAAATTTTGATCACACCACGACAGCCTCAAAACGTAACAATTCTAGAAATAGAAAGAAAATTAATTTACCAGTTCTCTATCACCAATGATAGCATACCATCATGTAGCTAAAGAGACTAGTAATATCATATCATTTGCCACAATTGTCCTTTTTAGCGAGAAAAACTAATTTAAATCATCTTGGTCAGCTCAAAAACTGCAAGACCAAATATACTGAGAAATTCTGGAACTATGTTCAAGAATACAGATTCCAAAGAATTTTATCTAGTTCCATTTTGTCATGATTTTTAAAATAATAGTATCTGAACTTACCATTTCGTTTTACTCCTTCAGATGAATCATCACTAGCATCGGCAGAGGGAGCAGAAGGTGTGATTACAAGTCGACGTCGTGTATTTATCACTTTATCTGAAAATTAACATCAGGTGAAACCAGGTAATACTTAATTTAGAGAAAAGCAATCAACAAATCTAAAAATCGATGTTTGAATCTTTAAATCGTGAAAAATCATTACCACCAACAATACATTTCAATAAATTTACTTATCTTGAAAGCCCAAACTTTTTATGTTATCTTTCGAATAAAAAAAATTCCAAAGATGCGTTAAGATTACTCACCAACTCTTTCTGCTCTGTCAGCTACTTTCAATAGAGAGGTTGGCAAATCACGTCGCCGATAAAAGCAAGAAACCTTTGCTTCTACATTTCCTGATTGCGTCTGAAATAGTAATAATTTCTTGCATAAAACACATATAGCAGAAAAATAATAAAAACAAAGATTTGCCAACAAAGAGATTACGAGGAAGTTGGAGGAATTGTAGAATTTAACTTTCTACAGTTATTATGTTTTATTATCTTATTTCGAAACAATGATTTCGCAATACTTTGAATAATTTCATAATCATAATCACCATTACATCTAAATATCTAGAAATGTGCATATTGATGACATGTAAAAAGTTGCCTGAATAATGTGAATTTCTTTCAAAATATTTTAAGTAAATATTAAATATCCACTAATTGTATCATGTCTATGATGAACATGCCAATTGAAATGACTAAATATCTAATACCTTATTTAATTCCTCAATTTTCCGAATTTGATATGGAGCGGCACTAGACAGTTCAAAATACACAAAATCTGAAAAGAAACGTACTTTAAGCAAAGTCAATTATTACAAAATATTTTAAAATTTACTTTCATAATCCTCACTAGATTTCAGTAGTTGCGTTAAAAAAGTTTTTAATAAAAATACGACAAAAAAAAGCAAAAAGTATGTCAATTAGTAGTGGAAAAATAGTAAAATAATGATACGAAATATTCTTAATGTCAACAACTAAAATTTAATAAAACATTACCTCCAACCCGATACATATTCTGAGCCATTGTCTTCTGTATTACTCAAGAACTTCGAATATCCAGTTATATATACAAAATTCCTATAAGACATGACAAATTTGCCAATTATGATAATCATGAATAACGACGCATTGACAAATCTTCTCTTGGTACACCAAGAGTGACTTAAAGAACTGACGATAAAAATATGCAAGTAAACAGATCACAAATTTTTAGCAATTTGAAATTTACAAGACAAGTTCGAAAAGAAACTGTTCAAAAAAACAATCTTTTAATAATATCCATAACTACTAAGACTGTTCTGTATGATAATATGCATCGTCTCGTGTACTTGTGCATATAATAATGGCAGCTATGCAAAACTAACGGAAAAAATTGCAAAAATATATCACAGAGAAATCAGTAATTAAAAATAGACAAAACTCAAACCACAATATTCACGCAATAATATTTTTATGTTAACAATTACCGTAATAAAAATGAACGTCGGTAATCAAAATGCGTAAAATCACCGTAATTCCACGTAAACTATTCATACAAAAAATACACTGAAATGTTTATGATATTTCTATAACACTAATTAATTCTAGAATCTATTAAGTAGCTAGCACAATGCTCACACAACTAATCTGAGCACAACTGTATAAATTGACAAAACTTCACTTCGAATATGTTCTATTGTTAAGTAAGCAAAACAACTTTTTCTCTTTGAGTACTACTTGAAATTGATTAAATTTTAAAAATTGTTTGAACAAGCAAAAAGGCACTATTTAAAAAAAGTGATAGTATTTTACACAATTAAATCCTATCGAAACTAAAATTCCGACAATAATCTCTATCTTAATTTCCATTACATCTCAAATCGAGCAAACAACTTCGCTATCCATCTCTTAACACTCACTTGCAGCATCCATCCTATTCTACTCGCTTAACACATAGTCCAGAGAATGTCCCATTTCAGCAATTTGGTGGTTAAGTGCGAGTGTTACGTGAATGCATTTGTGACTTCATGTATCTTACACGCCTTTTTACATGCACGCATAATTGTTTTTGTGCATGCGTGCGTGAAGGCTTAGGGACGTAAATATGATATACAACCGCGCGGCACTCATTAATCGTAAAAATCGATACTCGAATTGGGCTTGCCAACCAACCAACCAACAGCGAACAGCATTACAATGGAACGACTAGCCTCCCTATTCCTAATCATAATTTCATCTTTATTGTATTTAGCCGCCTGTCTGACTATTCGCTTTCCACATTTAGATGAACTCTTATACGTGTGCGACGCTTCAAACTCTCCGTCCCCTGAAAACATCTCCCGTGTCTCTTGTAACTTTGCCAGCTTATATCTTGTAAATTGGAGAAATAAGTCCATTGTTATTAATGCAATTGCTAGTAGCACGTACTGTAACTAACTGACAAGTACTTAAGTTCAGTACAGACAAATAAATCTACATATAACTCACGCAAATAATGAATTGCCCATAATGAATTGTTCCTAAGCTCCTACAGCAAATTTCCAGTTTTTTCTATCGATACGGATCAGTTTCATGTGAAATTCTGCTTAGCATGAATACTGATGAAATCTGGTAGGTGGGGACTAGTATTCATAATGAGTACTCAAAAGTAAGTTTGTAACTACACTGTTTGGAGCGTATAAATACTTAAGCAATCTTATGTTCCATTTCAGGTTTTATAACTGGAAATAAGATAAGCATATCAATATTGTGCAACATTAAGGATAGTAGTTCGCGAAATCAGATTTCAGTTTCTTCTGTATTTCAAAATGAATGGAAATTATATATGATATCATTCGAAGGACTGGATGAAATTTTACGACCTGTATTCTTTATCTAATTGTAAGTGCAAATGACAATTTAAAAATCCCAGAACTACACAAAAACATGACAGTACTTCATGATAATATTCAAACATTAACATTCACAACCTCAATCACATGAATTTTATGACACAATCCATGAGGTAAATATATATGCACTCATTACCCTTCAACAGTCTTTAAGAGATAGTGAAATTCTCTAGCAGTTAGCAAAGTTACTGTTTTGTGCATTCAAGATATCCACAATCAACAAAAGTTTGTCTCATCTCGACAAAATCCGATATCTTCTTCGTTCCCAAATCTTCGAATACGTCCGCCAAATAAGCTACAAAATAGACATGTCATATTTTCGGGAGCAACACTCTTGGAGAATTTTAAAATTTAAAGTTATAGACCACATTACCCTTCTTATAACAACTAAAATATTAGACATTCCAATACAATAAAAACACAAGTATGTCGGCATAACAGAAGCTACATTACGAAAATAGATTTTCTTTCGTTTTTAATCTGGAAAGGACGAACTGTTGTTTGAAAATAATAAATTCAAGTTACTATCTTGACGAAGCAAAAGTTTCATCGATCCCTATTTCATTGAACAATTGTAATAGATGCAGATTATATGGAACACATCCATAACATCTAATTCGTCATTAGTATGAATGACTTAATTATTGACTAATACTAAGCTATTTCACATGACACCTTCACTAGATGTTTACGTTATAAATAAGTTACAATTATTAAACAAGGTAGGACAAAAAAATTGAGATTAAGTATTAACTGTAATCAATCGAAAGTTGTCGACACACAGAACTTGAGTGAGCATTGATATCACCAACTGTATCTACGAAACATTCTTGCACAGCAGCTGCACATTTACCAATCCACCAGGATGGAATATCATCTCAAAAAGTGGTCTATTAGTGGAAAGATAACAGCAAATTCAATTAATTAAAAACAATGTCACCTTTGTGCAGAATTTGCTCAAAATTATTTTTATGCATTGTTTTTGATAACATGATGTGAAAAAGAGATGAATTCCTCAGATTCTATAATGCGGAAAACTATCTGCCTTTTAAACTGACAAATTACCATTTATTTTTATTACTGAAATGCAAAATATCATCAAAACAATGACTAAAATATGAAGTAGTTCTAATTGTGGATACTCATGTTTTCGGAACTTCTCACTCAGTTGTCTCTTTTGTTTGCATTTAAGTATACAAAAAACATTTGAAAGAAGTGAACCAATTTGGTACGTATTGTCATAAATTTCTTTCTCATGTTAGAAATATCTAAATAAATTTGCTAGACCTGAGAAACGACCTACCAACAGCATCCATTTTTGAAGCAAACGTAATAGCCGAAGCCATACAGCTATCCTGCGCATAAGCAGACAATTGGTGAGCTAGTGAAAGAAGTGATACACCTGCCGCTGTAACAAATTCGTTGGGTGAAGTACCGAATGGTAGTACTTTCATGCTTTCAGATATCTCAGTACTTTTTTTATCATCACCTGATACCTAAACGAGTGAATAAATGCGACTTTATCGATGCTTTTCTTTGTAATGAGCTTTTCGCATTAACTTTTTCGCATGTCTAAAAAAAAGTGGTCCATAATGCTGATTTTTGAGCTGAAATAGCAATTGAAAATGGCAAGAAATACATTTTAAAACAAAATAAAAAATATCTCAAAAACTAACAATACTTCGAAGGCCATTTTCCATATCAGTAATCAAAGTACGAGAAAGAACTTCAACAGCGCGAACAATAAATCTTTTATTCATTTTACGAATTTCTGACCTTGCTTTTGCCAAACTAATATCACCTTCGACTTTAGCTGTAATCAGAATTCTAAGATATTTCAGTGCAAAACAAGCACATCCTTCTTATGAACTACTCAAAATCATTTCCTTAAAGGCTTGGTTTTGTTCACGAGCTCATGGAACTTAGAAACAAGCCAATTTTGCAGAAATTACACGAACAGGACAATTTGCTTCGGAAGTTTGAAATTTCGCTGCATAATTTTTGTGATAATCTGTTAATAACAATATCTTTATCAACAATTCCCAACTGTTCCAACATATCCTTCAATTGCTGCTTATCGTTTTCAATCCAGTTCAATAGTTGCCCTGCAATAATGAAGCACTTCATTGAAAGAAGAATCGAATGATATAATAGGTCAGTAACTAACACAAACCTGTCGTGCTAACTAAACGCAGAATATCTTCTTCTTTTACATTATTTCCATCCATATGCGTTTTGTAAAATTTTGTTAGTACTGATACTACATTTTCATACATGACCTGCAAATTAATCAATAAACTGAAGAATATGAGATAAAAAGTGAATATTAGCATATCATGCTATTTCATTTTTTTAAAATTTACAAACTCGATAGACCTTAGTTATCAAACCAAACCAATCATGCACTAATTATGCAAAACAATGCAATATTTATTTAGTTAAAACTTACTCTATATGCAGGAATTAGAAAAATTACAGCAATATTGTTGAATGTTCCCTTAACCATCTGAATCAAATAACAGCTTTCCTGAATAAGCTGAGAAAAGCTATTCGACAGCTGCTCCAAGCTGGCCGGAGTTTGAGAGGGATCCGATGAAGAAGAAGACTATAATGACAAATAATATTAATGCACAGAACACATGCACTGTAGCATGAATCAACACATAATTCACATGTAATAAATCATAATATAGACATGTAACGAATTGGATAATAAACCATTGCTATATTAGAACAATTAGCCAAAAATGATGTTGCCAATTTCGTGTATTCATCGGTCACACACGATAACAAAAGTTCGCCAAACTGCACAATACATTCTGTTATGTATTCATCATCAGTTGAATGTGATGCATATTGCGACATAACCTGAAATTTGGACTGTTCATTAATTGAAGAATGCGAGCAAGAAATGAAAAATGTCTAATGCTTACCATAAAATGTTTAAATCAATTAACACGTCATAGATTATATGAAACTGAAACACTGCTTCTCAAAATTTCATAAACATTTTTGGTATTCAAAAGTTGAAAAATCTATAATTTAAATATGTATACCGATCTGAATTCAAAGATCATCTTCAATGTTTGGGAGCCAGAAGAATCATGCTCCAAAGTTTTACCGATCGTATTTGTACAAGCACTTTTAATTTCGGCTTTCTGGATCAAAATACTTTCGCTAAGTGCATTTGACAAGAAAGCATTCGGAGAATCAAGAACTTTTTCTGCCCATCTGAAAAATTACAGGTATCAGAGAAGTTTTTCAAGAACGAATGGCAAGAAATAACTTTTATTTTATTGGTTTTTACGGGCACTTGAATGCAGCAAAATAAATTATAAAAATTATGATGCAAAAAAATAATGTTGAAATTCAGCTTCATACCTAAGACATATATATAATGATGGAGAACTTACCCATCAAGTAATCGACTATAACTTGAAATAATAGCAACACGTGTGTCCAAAAACAAATTGGACAAATTATCAACCACGTGAAATTCAACTTTATTCTCGCCTCTTACGTAATGTTTTATAACGCTATCAAAATCTGAATCAAGTAAATTTCTTTGAATTAATAACTATAAATAAGTTTATCCACCTGCTTAGAGATTTTCTCCTCCTTGCTACAAAATTATGAATTCAAGAAGGGTCAAAAAAAAATACCTTCATTTCTCTGTAACATTTTGTACTTTTCCTTGACTGATAAAAGTCCATCAACTGGATTTTCCGACTGTATTGCCAATACAACACGGGTGGAATACCAACTTAGAAAAATATCTTTGGCTTTTTCAAGAAACTTTGCTTGTTCTGGGATATCTCTGAACTAAAATTTAAAGGATGACGACGTATATGAATCACAAATCAATTTCATAATTCTTACATCGCTGTTAATATAAGAATTACGGAACAAAACAAATTTCCTTTTACTTGTGATAAACACTCGTATGCTTTCTGTAAACCAAAGACAACGTTTTCTGGTGCTGGTTCACTTCCATTTAAATTTTCAATAACAAGTGCATTTTCTTTCCATGCTCTACGCGCCTGTAATTCGCAAATTTCTGTACATACGACCACCACAATTTTATATATACAATGCTTGACATTAGTTAGTAAAAATTTGCTAGCAATCACTTTGATCCGTTTCTGTTAAAGTTTAAACTGAAAGAATGCATAACTCCTCATCATAACATGTTCACAATTCAGAAAAACTCGGTTTAAAACAATCTGTCACAAAATATCATTTATAAAGCCTTAGAACCTAGGTTCAATGAAATTACCATTAAAATCTTGATAAGATCTGCAGCCCGTCCATCAGCTTTATCATAAACAGCTATCGCATCAAATTCCTTCACGAGTTGTTCTTTAGCATGAGCGTCAACTACCATTTTCAAACGTTCACGAAGTTCAACGCAAGACTGAACACACTCGTCCAAACAGCTTTCATCACTGGTACAAATAAAAACGTCGTATACTTTATAAACATTATATCTAGTACATGCGGATTTTAGACAATGCATTTAAAATATTATAGGAAAATTGTGCCTTTAAGAAAACTGGCAGCAAAGTGAGAATCCAAATATTTACACTATTAGCATGCACTAAGATCAACAAAAGTCTACTTCTTGGTCCGCTCAATTTCATCCTTCGTCTTGTCCAGAAAACTCTGTTCTTCTTTGATCTCAATGTCAACTGCCTCCAGTAAAGACTAAAAATAAGATGCAATCTTAATATCATTTCAAATCCCAAAAAACAGGAAAGGTCTAGTTATACTAGAAAACTTTGTAATTAGAGATGCAAAGAACTGCAGTCTAAGCCATACAGAAGAACTGAATACATAATATCTGATTAAACAAGAGTAAAAGTAATAAAATCATCCAAAGGATATTTACCTCACTTGTTTCATAAGCTTTACAAATTCGATATAGATTCAGACTCTTATTTTGAAATTTTCTCGTCATTTTTTGTTCAGAAATTTTGATTATTGACAAATGCAAAAAATAAAGCAATTTTCCAGCCAATATTTTTATACTTAAAAAATTTTTAAAGAATTCTAGATCTAGTTCAACATAAAGCATCAAAACAAGATCAAACTTGAATTAATGCAATTTTTAGGAAACAAGCTTCAAAATGGATTGAATGGGTAATCTAAAAAGCAAACAAATAAAAAATACATGCAATAAAAAGAATAAAAGCATGATCTAAGTGACCTTAACTGGTTCTGTTCTTGAATTGATCCAATCAACTAAATTCGCAGTGTCCCACGGTTCAGAAAAAGTTGGAACTTCGATTAGAAAAGTCTACAAATACCTTTTATATCTGAATAAAGAGAAAGAAAGCAATAACATAATTAATGTTGGCTTAAGAAATGGAACCAAAAAGTGCGGAATTATTACTCAAATTTTGCGTGATTTTTTTTTTTTTGAAAAATTTATTAATTTCAGAAACTGAAAATTATACTCCCAATTAAATATATTTGATAATATAGAAAAAATACTTTTAGTAATATACCTCTGACATATTCCACTATTTGCAACTTAATCAAGCTTCAGGTAACATCTTTACACTGATTTGGCTAGATTTTTATTACTTTCTTCTCTAGCAATTTGCTGGTCCGCAAAATTTTCATTCCGCGACAAATGTCCAATTGCGGAAAGTTGAATGCGGTCGTTTTAACTTGTTTCAGCGCACTTTTGTCGCATACCTATAGTCTTTGTTGCTGTGTGAAGGAAATAGTATTCGGTTCTCGGTAGTCTGAAAACAATGATGACATCTGTTTAAGAGCTTAAGATTTTATCTTTAAAAAAAAATCATTTACGCGTGTAGATCTAACTCTCATGCACTTAAACACTAAGTCCACTTTTATTAGTTTTGCTCGAAAGTTAATTTTTGATCACATTAGTCTGACTGGTAGAATGTGTACTTATTGTGTCAAGATAAATCAATATTATCGGCTATTTTCGGAAATAGGAAGCGAAAGTCTAAAATTATCCACACACAGAGCATCTATGATTTTTGTCCCTTTCTTAATTTTCAGATCATCAGCTAAACGAAAGTGTTTTTAGGCTGTGTATTTCTAGATATTCATTTCGAGTAAAATTTAGTTCTGTATTAGAAATTTTTTCTTCGTTGTAAGGCTGACCTTACAACAATGTAACAGTTTTTCTTCCATAGTATTTTTATTTTAATGAAATCTCTAAATCGCTCATGAAACAAATCTATTAATCCTATTATTCATTCATTTATTTAACCGTTCATCTGTCGACTAGAAGCAGATTATTAGTCGTATTTCGGAAGCGATTAAACTGCATATCATTCTTGCCAAAAAAAGGAAAGCTGTATACTTTTCGATCAGTCAGTAAAAGGTTGTTTTAATTCCAACTTTTTGTATTTATATTTTTCTTTGCTGTCATTGCAAAATTGAGGGGTTAAGTATATCATGATCTCTTACAGTAAATTATTAAAATTGTAAAATTGATGTTTATTGTTTTCAGCTCGAAAGATTTTCAAGTGCACTGTTAATAGAATGGATTTAGCATTTTCTGATATTCTTGATAGCGATGAAGACATTTTGGAAACAGAAGCTACGCCAAAAAAAAAGTGCCATGTTTCAGAAGAAGGCGAAGGATTATTGACTGGGATAGAAAATTCAACAGCAATAGAAAACACATGCAGCATCCCATTCGTTAGTTTCAGAATTCTATCTGTCAGTTGCTATTAACGCTTGTGGATCTATATTCGCAGGCACTTAAAATGCTAAATCCACTTTTTAAGAAAAAACTATTGATATGTTTGCTGTATGTGATTGTTGAAGAGATATAATTCATTAAAAATAGTTTATTGCATATTATTTTTACTCTGAGTTACGTGATTTCAGACTCCACCTAATCCACGCTTTCGGGCATCTCTTCCATTTTCGGTTGTCGATCCAATATGGGAAACTATTGATCCGAACCCTGATATTCAGGAACTTTTCAGCTACTATAATACTATTTATTTTCTTGGGGTTTTGCCTGGATGTGAGGTGAAGTGGAGCTCTAGGATGACATCGTATGTTTTCAACAATTGTTGGAAAAACTTTTCATTTAGAAGATGCTCAGTTATGTAATTTTGTCAAATCGTTAATTTTTTCTGCTCTATGTAAGCTGTATATGATACTGTCTTTCGAGTTATCACATAGTTCTTTTAATTTCTTATATTATTCTATGACTTCTGATGTAAATTAAGAAGTATGTTTGTTTTTCAGGATTTGAAATTCTTGAATTTTTGATATTTTTAGGTCGGCAGGATTATTTAGTTATAATGGTAAGCAAAAGTGTTCCATTCGTCTTAGTCAGCCGCTTCTGCAGTATCGACCTCGAAGAGATACGGTTGAGACACTTTTACATGAGATGATTCATGCCTATTTATTCTTCACGAGTGAAAACAGGCAAGTTTGTCTCTTTTCTCAAGTTTTAAAATGAGTAAATTCAAATACCTTATTTTTACGCAGTATTTTATTTCAGGAATCATAATGCACACGGACATGAGTTTCGATCCCATATGCAACGCATAAATGAAAGAGCAGGTACGAACATAACTATTTACCACAATTTTTCCGACGAAGTCAAGTATTATCGAAAACACTGGTGGCAGTGTTCGGGACCCTGTCGGTAATTTTATTTTTTTTTCAAATTGATTTCAAGCTGAAACATTGTATGTCGTGTAATAAAATTTTTCTGAACTATTGAAGTCTACAGAACTGATGTAGACAGTTATGAAAATTAAAATATGGATTATCGTTTTGTAAGTTTTCTACAACTAAAGATACTAAGATTTCTGTAAATAGTTCGTGAGAGCTATTTATTGATTTCAGTGAAAGGCCTCCTTATTATGGCTGGGTAAAACGTTCTGTCAACCGCGCTCCAGGAGAGAACGATTTCTGGTGGAGAGAGCATCAAATAACTTGTGGAGGTATACAAGATGTCGTAATTGTTTATGTTGTCGATTTTCACAATCATTTTAACTGCGCGTCTGTTTTTAGGTACTTTTATCAAAGTTAAAGAACCGGAAGGCTATAAAGCGAGAAAGTCGACTAAAAGAAAGAACAAAAAAAACCAATCTGTCGCTGGCCAAAATTCTCTTGAACATTATTTCCCTGGCACAGGCCATGTTCTTGGTGATTTGTCTTCGCCCACAAGCTCTAAAAACGTAGCTGAGGTCGAGCAAACGCTTCATGTTGATGACAACGGAATCATAAGTCTTTCTAGTCAATGTGAAACAGTAAAATTAGAAGAAACGATGTTACCAAACAAGCAAGTTGCTAGTAATAATGGAGTTGAAAATAACGATGTTATCTTTCTCGTGCCTTGTCCGATATGCCAAGCATATGTTTCGGAAAACGCTATCAATAGACATCTGGATCTATGTATCTTCGTATCATGATCTCTTGGTACTTCGTTTTCAGATTTCTTCCTTTTTAATGTGATTTGACGTAAACATATGTATCGTAAACAGCATATAGGACAGTGTTTGCAGTTCTGGTCAATATATGTTATAGCTTTAGAAACTGTCACAGCATCTTGTTGTTATTTCTATTGCTCACGCGTGATTTTCTTCCCTAGCAAATATGTAGTTATCTTAACTACTATACCTATCTATTAGCATCTGTGTTTCATGAATAAAAGAAGGTAGTTTATAATGCAGGGCTGTAGCACTATACTCGTGACTAACAAGTCTTGTAACTTGGGAGTAGCTTGTTGACTACTAATGACGTTGCTTAATTTAAAGCATCTTACTTCCTGAACGCTCTCCAATCTCTAATTGGACCACTATAACACAATACGTCCAGTAATGTAGGGACTCAATTTTATGATGGATGTGATAAAAATTACGAAATTTACCAATAACAATGAAGTTCATGGGATCTATGCTGACGACTCATCACCAAATTGCAAGATTAAGGCATTTCAGTATGATTTATTTTAGTTTTCACATGATCATAAATTCGACTTCCTCACACATGACCATTTTTAGCAGTGAAAACGATAACCAGAAAAAAAAATTACACTACCAGAATCTTCGCTCACAAGAACTAGTGACCGATTTGGCAGTTTGTGAACGATTAAAAAATGAGAACATTTTTCTAAGCATAAGTCCACAGTTACAAATCCACAAATTAAGTTGATAAACAAAACGTATTATAGAATGAATACAAAAAACAAAAAACTAATTGATGCAACAAAAAAACTGTGAGGAGAGCCCATGAAGAATTGAAAATAAGCAAGTAGAATGAGTTTGTGTGAGATCTATTGAATACGGTGCTACTCCAAATAATCAACACCGCCATCAGCCATGCATAAAGAGACTGTAAATTTCACAACAAAACTTCAAAATGCATTTTGTCGAACACAAAGTGCATCAAAAGTGGGAACCTAAGCATACAAGAATTGGATTTTAAGTGTAGACCTGAAATAAAACATCCACAACAATGTACTTCATCCACACCTTATTTAATACCAACTCTAAAAATGAAGATTTACAGCAAACATGGATGTTAGAAGTTTTAAACAACTGCCATGAAAATAAGCTGATGATATATACTGCATTCATTCCAGGCACAACTTAAAGGGTTCAGGAAAAAAATTAAAAAAACTCCGGATGACTACGTTATCTTACTCATTTCATCGAGTCATCGTCATTGATTTCATGAGGATTCAGCAATCCAGGAACCTATAACATTTAAAACTAATAAGCAGTGAAGCAAAAGATATTAAACATGTTGCTCAAAACAAAAATGAATGAGATTTTACTTCTTTTTTAGCGTTTTGGACATTTTGAATCTCTTGTTCACGCTCCTCAATGAACAAATCAGATGTATCTTCTCCCACCCTTTCCTGTAAAATAAATACTTGAAAAGAACTGGAATTAAATGCATCAAACATATCAAAATTCATAGCAACTTTCAAAAGGCCATAATCATTTTCGATAAATCTCTCCTAAGCTGAAAAGATCTATTCTAGTTTAAAAATTAAACCAACAAATTCCTAACACGAAAAAAAAAATGAAGACTACCTTAATTTGAACCAAAAAGTCGCGAAGATGGGACCTCATTCTCACTGAATCAGTGTTGAATGAGAAAAAACCTTTGACAGTCACACGAATTTGATCTCTAAACATGTGAATTAACATAATAAATTGAATGTGAACGATATAGTAAATCTAAAACGAGAATCCCTCCATAAATCAAAGAAAGAAAATTTTATACATTTTTCATAAAATGAAATTTTCGGACTCCCATTTATTCGTTTCGTGCCATCAAAGAAATGAAGTCCACAAAATAAATTTTTTCAACGTTTTTTTTTTTGCGGATTTCGCGGTCTTTCGAATTGATATATTTCATTCACAAATATAAAAACTTTGGTCAATAGTTGTTACTTACGGAGTCAAGTTTTCAAATGCTCGAGCAAAAGTTTCGCTAATGTGCATGTAAATGTAATCAATATTTGATTGCGGAGGATTTAATTGTACAGTAATAGACGCTTCGGCAACATAAAACAATATACATAAGACATCAGCGTAGGATGTTAAACCTATAAAAAGCAAAATTTTTCATTAACATCTGACAAAAAGGACCCAATACTATGTTATTCCTACAAATTCAATTTATTCTGTTCATAAATCTACACATAAGTGGTGTACATTTATTCATTTATTTAATTTATAAATAGTATTTTGATGCCAGAACTTACCAACGATTTTGATTTGGTTACTATCTGTGACAACTGTCAACACGTGCACTAGTATTTCCATAAAAAAGATACTGTAAAATGTTTGTGCCTTTTCTCTATCGGGATGGATGCTAAACTGTGTAAGCATGTCCTTCAAAATTTCCAAACCTACGATGTACATCATTCATTATAATGTCCCACACATAAACAAATGATATCAATTGCTTTTGAAAAAAATACAAAACGTACCAAGTTCAGCAACGTTTCTCATTGTATGCTTGAAAGCCCAAACTACAGCATCTACAATTAAGCGGAAAAGTTCTGGTGGAAGAGATATGAGCACATCAAAGCTTTCATGAGTCAGTGCCTGCAGAAGGCTAAAGAAGTTGAGGCGATGTTCCGGATATTCCTCCATATCACGGTTGATCATTTCTAGAGTGCAGGTGAAAACAGCATCCAATATTCGGATAACCTCCGGATTAATCAATGACTGTAATGAAACACAAATATATTCTACTATTTAGGTCAGTGTGAAGACCTTGACAAAAAATACATTAAACTACTGATTAAAAATAACCAATAATCTTTCAAATCTATTAAATTTGAAGAGTGAGAAAAGACAACGAAGCAAATAATATGGTATACAGAAATCATTACTTCTATCTGAGCAACGATGATGGATAGTAAAGAAAGAACTTTTGGTTCGCGTGCAGCTGGACAATTACGCTGATAATCAAAGAGGACTGCATCAAACAATGGAGGTACAAAATTTTCCAGTATGACCTAAAATTCTCGTAAATAAAACACTGGAATGAAAAATAACTTAAAACTGAAGAGTATAAGTGGACTTGCTAATGTTTAAGAATAAAAAATAAAGCATATAATTTGTGAACTAAGAAGAAACATACTTTAAACCATCACGGAACTTGAAAAATCTTACATTATAATCCTGAGTTTTTACAACCCACGTTGAAATAAGAGTGAGTATTTCGCGCTTAATAGCTCTCATTTGCTTCAACAAAGGTTGTTTGAGAATTTCTTCTCCTGCCTGTGCAACAGAACCACTAATATTTTCGGATGTCACTTTGTAAACATTTAACATATCCAGATAGATTTTAGAAAGCTGAAAACGTGTTAATTTATACAAAATTACAAATATTGTAAAAAAATTGCCTCATACTTATAGAAACTTCAGAAAAATGTGACTGTACTTGGCAAATGAATGGTTCGCCAATCGAACGGCAGGCAGCGACATTTGTTTTTAGAATATTGACAATATTTTTGACAACTTCATGCTCTTTCATTACACTAATATCCTAAAGTAGAGAAAAAAATTATTCTACTCATCTCTGATGCTTTTCCTATAACGTGATAGCAAATAACTAAATAAACGAAAGTATGATTTGTTCGATAAAAATTTTAAGTATTTGAATTTGACAAACCTGACTGGCATGAGAAATAATTTCTTCCCAAATTGAATTGGGAAGTTGCATCAAACGTTCAATAAGGCTTTCTCTAATAGCAGAATCAGTTTGCGCGGATATAAGACAGCCAACAGCTTCATAGAAAACGTGGACCTGCTGCGGAGATAGATCGCATATGATAGAATTTAAACCCCCTAGAATCTCATCGATAAAAGGCCCTGTTTCACCTGCTTGAGTCTGAAAACGATTGTCGAAAATTTTCTCACGAATGACCACGACGAGATTTTAAAATATTTAAAAAGTCATTTCCTCACTGAGACAAAAAATAGAATCAAAATTATTAACACTAAAAATGAATATTTTGTAAAAAAACGTACTAAAACAAAATGACGTTTGCATTTGTGCGCAACTTTAATGAACGTGTCGCAAGCCATATCTTGTACCCCTTCGTGTGTTTCGTGCATAAATTCGAAAAGCTTATTTATAACAGTTTTCAAGAACTTCCAATGTGCTCGTAAAAAACGCGGATACTGTCCGACAACGTACATTATATTTGATGCAATCACTGACTTATTATCCTTACCACGTTTTTGCTCACATAATCCAAGAAGATCTGCAAGCATTATTTACATCTATTTTTCAAAATTTTTACATCATCAAATACTTAATAAACACTTTTAAAATATTATACTCAGATACCTCTGATAACTCCCACAAGAAATCGCTTCTCGTCTTCTTCCATCATTGACCCACTAATTGAGCCAATCGCCCAACACAGCTTAAATAACATAATTGGTTTAATAACTTCTACCCATGTTTTTCATCTGTTTTTGTGTATTAAAAAAATTAAGCAACACTATCCTAAAAAATCAATACTGAAAATGAAGAAAGAGCTATTTCAGATTACCGTATTGAGATTTTTCCACGACCACTCTTTGCCATTCACTTGATTAAGCAACTTTTCAGTCATTTTCATTTCAGTATCCTTGTAGTCAAGATGAGTTAAGTAAACTGCAATACAAATTTAAAGAGAGTGAAATAAAGCTGAAAAGCTTTTGACAGAAGCTTGCTTTTTGACTTACCTAATGTTTCTCGCATAGTTTTGTAAAGAGTGATCGAATCAGTATCTTTGATAAGTTCACGCACAACTTCACCTTGATCATTTTCAACCACAAGTACTTCTTCTGGCTTTGCCATTCTCGAAATCATTACGGATCGCAACTGAAAACAATATTTTAATTATTACACGCGAAAAATTCACAAAACTTTTATTATTATTGAGAACGCTCATCCTACAATACAATATAATTGTGATAAAAATATCTACTGTTTAAATCATGAATCACCAATTACAAATGAAATTTTTCTTAACTGAACCCTGTCGACAAAATTTGATGAATTTTATCAATTAACAAAAAAAATTGAACTGCAATAATACCTCGGATAAAGCAGCGCTATATAACAAACGACGAGGAGGCTCCTGATGACCTACAAACATTGGAAAAGCACTTATAACTGGACGATCAATTTGAAATGGGAATTCTCGATAAAGTTCTGCGCAAAGCCAATTCCAATAATCTAAACAAATCTTAAACACTTCCACATCTTCGACCATACTTATTTTCAGTAAATACTGCAATGCCTGAAAGCAGTACAAAATTGAAAATACTGGCCATTGATCAACAATCATTTCTATATGCTGCATTTGTAGCATGCATATTATACTGAATTTCGAAAAAAAAAATTTTAATTTTCAGATGGCAATGGGGTGGTTGTTCCTTTATTTTTATTTTACTATCTGAAGAAACTAGAAATTTTTTTCGAACTTAACAGTATAGAAAAGGCTTCATACCATTTCGTGTCCTTTTTTCAAATCCATTTCATCCGCTTTATCATCAATGATTTCAATCAGTGGAGAATTTTCTTTCATGAAAGTTCCCAAAAACTGCGCTAAGTTAGCAATGAATTTTTGGTCTGCATCAGTACCGCGTCGATATGCTTCGCAGAGATCAACATCTGGATCAATTGTAATCAGTATCTATAATACAAAAGCTGTAAACTTATTACGTTTTCAACCTAACTTGAAGAAATGCACTTAAAGATGAACAGCTTTCTTCATAGAGCTATTACAACAAACAATTTCAAAAACAATATCTCAAGGCTTCGCTAAATTTAAATGATCTACCAAACATAACTATTTCCCAACTTCAGAATTAAAAAGGATGATGGAGTAATATGGTAGTATGGCAAAGTATAAATCTGCAAGAAGAATAGGCTTTTTGCCTAAGATATTTAGAATTTATTCACTTCCGAATTATAAAACACTGAATACCTGAGTCATTGCGCTTCTGAACAGCCATTTTACTTGAGTTTTATACTCTCCATTCGGATTATCTATTTCAGATACGTTCAATGATACAATCTCCGTCAAACACTGAATGCTAATGCAGCGAAACATAGCTACTCCAAGGAACTGCAAGATTTAAATCGACTGGGTTTAAACGATGTATGACTGAGTGAAGTTCATCGTAGTTTCAAATACGAAATAGAAACAGAAAAATATTAAATAATTAAAAAATCAAAAACTTGGAAATGATAAAAACAATTTAATGAGTAATTCGTCTAATTAAGACAATTTGATGAGTAATTCTTCATTGATTTTGAACATGACACAAAGGCAAAATAATTTACGATAAGATTAAAATACAGCTAATTGAGATATTAGTATTACATTCTACATGTCAAAAATTATTACTATAAATTATAGACGACAGTTTAAAGTCTAGCAAAGCTAAATATGCTCGTCCTGCTTAACATATTACTCTGTAATGAGATTGTACACTAAGCTTTTGTAGGAAAATTAATGATTGCTGGCCTCAACAATTATGAAAAGTCAACTATATTTAGATGTTTCAAATAAATATATCAATAACAAATACCTTTTTAGTTAGTAAATCAATTAAATTTGTTTCAAAAATATAGCCAACTGGGATCCAACTTAAAAAACGGTATAGAGTATGCAATGTGGCATCTACCAATAAAGCATTTTCGGAAGACTCCTGCAAAACTATACGTCGTAAGATCCGAACCAAATGACTAACACCCTCATACTAATTTATATATGGAGTTACAGAGTTCTTAGTTATGCTTTTAAGATACTGAAACTGTAAGAACTTTACCATGACTGTATAACACAAATTAAAGACGGCTTGAAATTCGCTACAAAATGTTTTTTTCAGGTGATGAGCTTTTGCTTGAGTCATTTCACCATCAAAATCAAACACTTCTTCACTGAAACAAAACATAATCATGCAAATAAAAAAGACATGAAAGACTACTCGCCATTATGGAATCATAGAGTTCTTAGTTGAGAAAAAATTATTAAAATAGTGGAATAGATGGATTTTAGTAGTCGTTTTTTGCGAAAACTTCTGTACCTGAGTAGCCGCAAAATGATCATATTGTTGAGGCAAAGATTATCATTTACTTTACTAGCACCAACAATATCAGCCATAAATGTTGGCCAGTGCTTTGGCCATTCCTGCTTGACAATCTGAAAAACCAAAAGCCTTAACCGACAATCCCTTCGATGCAATTAAAAACAGAAAGAAAAAAAGATGCAAAACAAACCTGTACAAGAACGAGATTCAACTTTTGAAGATAAGTCTTGATCTGTGGATTGGTAATTTCCTCACTACTAATCTTTATTACTAGCTCGACAATGAAAGATTTTATTCCTGAAGTATATTAAAATGCAAACAAGATAATAATACGTTCTACATGAAATAAATTCTATTTATGATTTTCTTTTCACTCTTTCAAAGTTTCAAAAATCTAAATTGGTTACAGTCTTGATATAGAGTTATCACTGAAACATCAAATTCCATCGTTTGTTGTTAAGTACAAAGTTACACTATTACGCGATGAAGTAAACTGTTATTGAAAGCTTTGCTAGTAATGCACAAATGCATCTACTCATAAATAGCATCACAGTCATGCTTGTATAAATTTGAACAAGATAGAGATTTCCGCTCATGTTAGTAATCTGATCGACTTTCTGAGTGTCAAGAGTTTGTCATTTTCGCAACAGTGACTACACAAAAGTTTGAAAACTTCAGAATCTAACGACTCACTAGTTCTCCTTTTTACACAACTATTATGAGCATCCAGTAGCCAGTATGGATAGTAATAGTAATATATTTTATACCTTCACACTGCTCTCGTGGTAACGACTTCCAACGAGTTTCGATCAGTGATTCAAGGATTTGTAAGGCATAATATTTAGTTTCAATTAATTGGCTGTATTCTAAAATGCCATCAACACGTGTCCAAGATGTATCTTTTTGTTTTAGCTCTGTGAGAATCTTTGAAGCAAGTTGTTGTGTTTCTCCCGTCGACTGATTCATAATATTAACAACCTAAAGATAAGTCGAAACACTTCAAGAAACGGCCAAATTTGTTTTCCAGCCATGAATTCTTAGTCTATATTTATGCAGACATGAACATCATTAATTACAGCTTTCTAAAGCTATTTCTGTTCCAGATCCATTTGAAAAAAATTGTAGTTCATCACTGCACAACTGGAGAGAAAAATTCTACAAGGGGAAAAAAATACTTGATCCAGAAGCGGTATTTCAATTTTTTCAGCTGACAGTAAAGCTTCACCAGCTTTCTGCAAGGCGGCAACAGTCATCATAGTCATGGTTGTATAAATTTGATCAAGGAATAGATCTCCGCTGACGCTAGTAACCTTTGGTCTTCCGAGACTTAAAATCTCTGAATACAATTGGCCACACTTTGTAACACGCGCACACTCACTCAGACACACTCGCACGCACACAGTAAACACGAAACGTACTGGTGACGAAGCTGTTAGCGCGTACTGAAAGTAAACATCGAATTCATAAGGCAATGAAATCATACAGAACAGTACATTGCACGTATCACGCATAAACACTAATAAAACCTCAAATGCTTAATATCTTCTTACTTCTTCAGATTTTTAATATTTTTGGATAAAATTCATTAATAGTGATTTGAATGCTACAATTAAATATACCTCATTTGTTTCAGCTGTTTTTCCAAGTTAAGACAAAACTTAATATGTTTGCCAAAAAACACCAGACAACCTTTTAGAAAAAATTACACTATTAGTAATAGAAGCAATATCAATATAAAGAAACAGCAATCACAACCATTTCAAATTTTGACTTTTTATTCGTTTTTACAACGTTGCCAGGGTCACTTTACCTAGCAACATTGTGAGAACTGACTAATAATAACGTCTATATATTACTTTAAGCCTATATAATTGCCACGACTGTTGCATTTCTTAACGATTTACACAAAGATGCAATTACATAAGCTCTTTATTCAAAATCTAAAAATTTAATAAATTGAAAGAAATATAAAAACGAATGGTAGCACCTCAGCACATTTCTTAACCATTAGCATAAAGATTTGACACCTAAAACGAGATATTTACGGTACATTACGGCCATTATCATGACGTAATTACAATCATAACTATTATCAAATACAACACTAAATTACCAGTTTTACTTTATAAGTCCTTTTACTTACTTCCCTGCTTCCTGTCCACATCATACATTTACAACTCTAAATTTGCTTTAAGCTGACTTCCGATATCCCAATTCATCCCTGCATGGAATAAGGAAGAAAGCAAAATAAGAGAGGGTAACGTTCCTATCAATAATCTTTCATTTCATGGCTGAATCAATGAGATTTCACACACTGATAAAACAAGCATGTTTAAAGAGATACTTAAAAAGACGCCATAATGATGCTAACCATGATGATGCTTTTAACGCGTAAAAGTAATTTTATTCACGTAAAAAATTTTTCAAGATTTACGTAACTTTAGAACACGTTATGAGTTATGCTATGTTTTGGTTTTAAAATAATTCCTATCATAAAGTGAAGTATGTAAAAATGATGCAGTAGATTAAGTTCCGAAAGCTTCAGAAACTACGCAACACTAGACATATACCCAAATTAATCACCATATGCAACAAGCAGTAATGCCTTTACCTAAACAGCAGAACACGTTGGGAAAGATCGAACTCGATCACTCAATTTTGATTATATTGAGTTGCAGTATTTCACTTGCTCTTGAAAGGAAAGTTGTTCATCCGAAATGAAATTTTGAGTCTCTTAAGTACACATTTTTAATACTGGTACACATTATTTACATTCTACCTGTGTTGGAAGGTTGTTGCTGAATTTAATGGCTCCTAAACGAGATTTGTGGAAGGATTACCGAAAGCAAATTGGTATAATTTTTCTACCATTAACTAATTATTTGTTTAGTTTGAAGCAAATGCAAGCCTTATAACAGTTAAAATTTTTGAAGGATATTTGTAAATCAGTTTCTTTCCACGTTTTGTAGTCCTACGGTAGTGAGTCATTGAGATAATGTGTTTTTTACGTAAGTGAAGGAGTGCTTAGAACTTGAGGTAGGTTTAATGTTAAGCATTTAGATTGAGCAAAAAATTTAGCTGTGCTAATTGCTAAATTCAACTATGCGTAAATAAGGAGTTTTATTATATAATTAAGTTGACATTATTAATAGCGATATTACTTGCTTATTCTTATAATCATACTGACAGAATGTCAAGTAATAACTCGTTGCGTTTGTTGTATAAACTCGACTTTCTAAGAGTCGTGTTCATGCGACATTTTTAATTTAGTAAGGAATTCATAAATCACTTATGTTTTCAAGTTTACTAATATATAAATAGTAAATCTTTTGTCCTTTAGAAATTCTATAAGAATTCTTGGCATTTTGCATTGAAATTAAAATTATTTAATCAAATCTGTGATCTGTTTTTTCTTTCCTGTATGCAGCTTCATAAATGTATTTATTGTCTTATGTAATCCACGGTCATTTATATATCAGTATAGTTTTGTCCATGTTCTACTGTCATTTTGCTTATATCACTCATAATTGGATTTTTTCAGTATCGAGCATATTACCATTTACATCGTTCACAATACCCAAAGAACGATACCCATGTAAACCTGCTAGTTATTTTACACCGGTATACCTTCATTTTTTCATTTCTTAATAAGCTATCAAGATATCAGCATGATATGTATTAATCGATGAAAATGAACATTGTCTTAGCACTCAGAGCTTTTTTGAGCATTTTTATTATATGAAAAGTCAGTCAATTAAGCACTTGTTTTAAGGTTTTTTTTATTTTCCTATTCTTATGTAATTGTGTAATTCTTAAATAAAATATAAAACAGTTCCGTGATCAAATGTTAATGATAGAATAACTAACTAGTTAGTTTTGGTTTTTGTGTATTAAATTCCCAATAAATTTTAATCTTCAAGTGCAGAAATTCTTTCAACTATATGTAATCTTCAGATGGAGCAGATTAATCTTTCAACGATATCCCTTCCGTCACAAGAACAGCATTTATTAGCAGATCTTTTTTTAGTTTACATGGTTTGTTTCCCTTGGCTTATAATCAATGTTTTACATATGTAAATTAATAACTTTTGTTTGGCTTCGTATATTTCATTTCGCAATAAATTTCTTGAATTCTTTTTGAAATTTGCTCTTAGCATGCTATTATAAAATTTAATGGAATTAGTCTAAAGAATGAAACCGTTTTTTAAATGCGAATGAAAGCTAGTAGTCTTGGCTGATTAACGTAATAAATTTAAAAAATGAATTTTAGGGATTTCAAGGAAACAGTATAAGATTTGTTAAAAACCGAAATACAATCACATGGACAGTTAATCCAAGTTCTGATCCATGCTTGCGTACTGCGCTATATATTGAACCTTGCCTTCCTCTTGCTGGGTCGCTGATTGTAATGCAGCATAACATTAGAAGTAATCACTTTTGTCTTACAATACTGGTTAGAACTCTAAGGTGCAGATAAATACAGATTTGAAAAAATCCGGGTTTCAGAAATATTAAGAAAGGTAGTGTAGTTTTTCAAAAAGAAAGTAGGGCCTAATGAAAGCATTTTATCGGGTTTCTGATTCTCGTTTCTCACGTAGCTAGTAATAAAATAAAAGTGGTTCACGTTTTTTCAGCTGATATTAACTTAACAGGGACTCAAATTTGTAATATTGATTGATATCAAATTCATAAAATTTATTGGAATACTGGTGAAGGCATTCTAAAATTCTCAGGTGCTGAGATAATTGAACATGCAAACATGTATAAATTAAACATAATCTTAATGAGCTACAACATTGTGTTTTCTCTTACTAATTCATATATTTGTTTTTAAATTTCTTAATATCTATAGTTTTTACAGCCTTGTGTTCCGACTTCTCGCGGGGCCGAGTGGCATTTGTTGTAGGAAATAAAGCAGAGGATTTTTTCAATTCAGAAGTGAGGTCATTAATACAAAAGATGCGGATGAGAAACCGTGACATGTCATTAACTCTTTCCGAAATTGCAACACATCTGCGCCGGTTTTGTCAAACATCAAAGCAGTTGAATGAATTTCTCAAAATTGTGATTACGGTAGCATTTATATATTTGTTCAGGGCAAAAGGTATGTTAAACTCATAGAATGAAAAATCAGTCCTTGGTTTTTAGTTGCAAAATATTGTCTAAGAATCTATGGTTTCTGAAATTGAAGAAATTGAGAGACCTTTGGATTCACTGGCACTGTTTTCTGATGTAAATAAGGTCAATAGTTTTGAATCACGTGATAAGCCAAAACAAGATTAATTAGCTACCACATAAAAGGGCATTTCAGAATATTTTTTAGAATTTTATGGAATCAGTGTTTAGAATAGCTGATTGTCAGTTTAAAGACAAGTTAGCTTACAAACGATAACTCATTTAATTTGTAAGCTTTTAAAGTTAAAAAAACGATCGAGATTTCTTTATAAATGTAAATGTTGTCTCTTCAATCTCTTATCCTTAATGCAGTCATCTTATTCATTATACCACTGTTTAGAAAAACCTTGTGGGTGGAGAGATTCTGTCTTTATTGGTAGAACAAATACGGAATTGTGTATCACCAACGGATCGTCAAATGCTTCAAAAATTCGAGTTGATCTGCTTGGAACAGTACTTTGAAATATTGTTTTATTGGATTTATTATGGAAAAATCATAGATGTTGGCCATGATGTACGTTATTTGACTTCAATTTAGCTGGTATTTGAAATCCTTTGTCTTATTTTTCGAATGAATTATGCTTCTTAAAAAATAATCTGCTAATTGAGCAAGTTTAGCTTATCATAGTAATGCCTTTTCAAATTCTTTTAAAGTCGTCCGTGTTTTAGTTCATGATATGGGACTGTAAAAACTCCAGGATGTGCATAAAATCTGAAATGTTTCTCAAAAGCGATGAAATTTTTGATAACGTGTTGAACAGGCATGTCTTATGTTGAAGTTTTTAAAACTATAAAATTCGGAATTCTGAAAACTGGAAAAGGTCACCTTTCTGGAGCACACTTTTTGAAATTTCAAGCAACTGCTAACACAGATGAAGCTAAAAGTGAGTGGTATAGTTTATGATTCATTTATCCATTTAGTTTTTCAATTTTCAGCTTTGAAGACCGATTTTGCGTTGTCAAAGCCTTATGTCCATTGCAACTGGAGCCTGTTTGTGAAGATATTGTCATGTGTGGTATCTATCTGAACGTTATTGAGAAAATCAAAGGTGATTTTATTTTTGGCAGATTTTCAATTATTCGTAGAACATTATCATCGTTTTGAAACTGCACTCTTGTTGACGAAGGGACAAAAGTTATTCAGGCTCCAGATTTGTTTGGAGACAAGCATGTAAACAATATTCAAACTTGTTTTGTTTTGGAATGCTTCCGGTCTATGACTAAATTGTGATTATGTTACAGTTAGTCATCTACGAATAATTTTAGTGAAGCATTCAATAGTCAGTCGTTTGTTTAGTTGTGATTTCTTTCACTTATTTTGAAGCCTTTAGTGTTAATTTATTTCATTTATTTGCACACTGATTCGATCTTATATTAAAATTTTTATTAAAAGGAAGTGTATATATTCAAAATACCTGCTAGTGTTGGTGATGGAATTGGTGGCCAAGTCTGCATAAATGGACTCGTTATATTCTTTTTTTAATAATGATACTTTGCGACTAGTATTTTACAGCATATTCGTGATTAGAACGATTAGCTTGATAGGAAAATATTATTTTTGATAAAATGCCCTAAAAAGTTTTCACGTTTTTGTATTGAGAAACTTAACCGCATCATTATTTTTGATTCAAAACCCATCTTTCTTTTCTCATTTCTTTAGATTGGAGGACATACATAGGATCATGAGTAATCGAATTTATATAAGCTTTTAAGAATTATATTCAAGCCACTGAATTTTCATGCAGAAATACCAGATCCTACCATGAAATATTAATTTCTACTAACCATAGTAATGCTCATTGACATTACAGGCATTGTTACTTATTTACTGTAAGAAATATATCGCTTTTTAATAGATTTTTCTTTAAGCGGTTGGTTTGTAATTTGCATATATCTTCTCTACAGCTCATGTTTTGAGTCGATTAAGGTTTTGAAATCCGTTTTGTTTAGAGGATACGGTAGATCTTAATGATGAAGCACTCAATGCGAATAAAAACCTTGAAGAATGGAGGAAAAAAAGTGTTTGTTTTAACTTCCATTAATTTCAAACGTTTTAGTAAGTTTTTGCAATGTGGTTCATGGCAGTTTTTTCTAGTTTAATTATATCTGTTCATCGAAACTATTTTTATTATTTTTATAGAAATAAAAGTTTAAAATTCTTCAGGTTTCTAGTATCATGCGTGAAGTTAAAAAAGCTCGTTTTAACGCGAGTAAGGATTTGGTCTTATATCTGCGTCAACAGTTCAATTTCCACGAGTATTTTGAGTAATTATTAAATCTTATGTTAAATATTTTTAGCTCTTAATTGCTAGTATATTCATATTGTAATAATTTTTGTCTTTATCAATTTTTCTACCTACAGAAAGTCTCTCGAATTTAATTTTAGGTCTCTTCACGATTTTATGTTGTTACAACGTTCTGACTGGGCAAATTCATTTTATGAGCTGTCTCAAAAAATGCTCACGGGTTCTATTCGAGGTAATTTACAATATTTTAAAAGCCAACTTCTAGTAACCTAAACTCTAATCTAAATTTCGTGTTTTTTCGCCTCGTGTTTGTACATCACGAGAAATTTGGTTGAAATGAATATTTTAAATATGGAATAAAAAAATTATATATATAAAACAAAAATGTGGAGGCTAGTTTTTGTTTTTGCTTTATTATTTCTGGCGCTGAATCACATTTCGGCAATCTGTACTTGCCCCGCGCTCAGATTTGTTGTTCTTATCGTTTTCACTTCGTCCTCGTGGAATCCATATCGATTGTCGAGGGAGATGCTTTCTAACGTCTTCTTGAAAACTATCGATTGAATGTATGCCTCAACGTGGTCAGATATACTGATCTCCTTCGCATAGTGTTTGTGAAAGTACGGAGTGGCTCCGAAAGCGTAGAAATGCTTTTTGACCATACTTTTTGCAAAGTCCTAAATGAATACATCGCAGGACTTCATTGTGTCTTGTAGTATAGTTATGATATAACATTTTCTCGCACTGCGTTGCTAGATGGTCCACCGTCTTCACACGTTGCCTGCTATGTTGGAACATACCTATCTCAGTTCCAAATATATCTCTGTCTAGGAGGTGACAGTACGCGCTTCATCCTGTGGGGTAATATTTCCAAATCGTAGCCACATTGATGAGTTTCACATCGAGGTTAGCTCATTTCTCCGTGTTTTGTATTGCCTTGCATGTCGAGTTTTCTGGTTCCCTATATATAGGAGCGCTTTCTGAGTTGCTAATATGCTTTCGACGGCTGGATTTTTTACGACGTTGTATTTGGTTTGTAGGTAGAGCACGATAACTGAGACGATACGATACGACGAGACTAACGATACGTGTTGTGAGTCCTTCCCTGCTTCAAGATTGCCTCCCTTCTGGTAGACCTTCTACAAGTACGTTATGAAGTTGCAGAAGCTTAAGCTCACTTATTTGTTCAACACAATGAAGCCCACATCCTAGCTTGTCCCTTGGCAGGTACACTCTATCCAAGGATGCAAGTTGCCTATGAATTCCGTATTTAATTAGTAACTGTCGATATCATGGTCTATAGCTTTGAAGCCTTCTGGCTGCAGCTTGAGCATCGATGTAATAATTTATTGAACTTATGGCGTGCTCATTTGCTGCCGTGAAAAATTTCTTACCATTTTGTGTAGTTTTGGCTAATCGCTCAATTCTCACTAGATCTCGGTTCGGACTTTATCGTAGCTTTCATATGTAGGTGTACTAGTCCTGTCTTATATCATTACAAAATATTTCTATCCTTAAGTTCATTACAATAATGCCGCCTTATCAGCGCATACCTCACTATTAATGGCTGACTTCGTTGGATTCACTTCTAACCTTTCTATTTCAATGAACTTCTGGACTCCTTCGGCCATCGCTTTCATGATATCCCCGTTGGCGGCAAGAATCTTGGGATCATCCATAAATACTAAAAGGTTTGTTACATGCTTCCTTGATCGATGGAAACCTCCACCTTTGGGGTATCGGCTCAGCGGATGCAAAAAAATTATAAACAAACAACAGCAGAGAAAGGCTGTCACCTTGAAGGATTCCCCGCTGTATTTTTCTTTCATTATGGTTTTCTGCAGTATATAAATATTATTCATGTAACTTAAATCATGTGCAACAAATCAGAGGTTAATTTTTTTCTCTCTTGATTTTTACTCAAAAAATAGAGAAAGTATGTACTTTTTTTTGCTTTTTTTTAATTTTGCATACTTTGCAATTTGGTTCTAAATTTTTCACTTAAATTTTCAGATATATCAGTGAAAAAATTGGAAATTCTGTTCGAAGAATCTGTTGATTGCTCATCTTTACGGTTTAACAAATATCGAAGCATATTCAAGTTCATGATTATCTCTTTCAGTTTGTCTGCTTATTTCTTGAAATGTATTTTCGCTTCAAACTAATTCTCACGTTATTTCAGACCAGTTATAGAAAAATATGACATACTCACGTCGCTGAGGTTGATCAGCAATAAAGGTGATGAAGCTGAAAAATTGTGGTCAGGTTAGTGGTCATATACATTGGAAAATTTGACAGTAGTCTTTTAGTAAGTTGTTAACAGTTGCCTGCGATTGTTTACTTTATAATCCCTGGAATTATCACGATTATTATGAAGATTTATGATTTATTATTAATATTAAAAAGATTGAAATGGATTGTGATTCAGAAATAAACTTGTGAGTTTAGTCATCATTGGCGTGTTTCTAGAAGCTAGTACAGTCGAAAGCAAAAGCGGTATTGAGGTACTATCGATGAATATCGATGTGAAACCTCCTTTGTCTATTATTTTCCCACCTCGGATATTATTTTATTATACTCTTTTCTTCCGAACATTCTTTTACATCACTTCAACTATTAATCAAGTCGCAGGGTTTGTTAAAGATAAGCATGTGTTCTTTATACATTGAAGGGCTTTTATGTGGAATGGGTGTTGGACATTTAAAAAAGTGAGCGTAGGATGAAGTTTAATTTGGAGATGTATGTGTATTTTGTTATATGTATATCTTGTATTCAGTTTTTGGATTGATGGTTTTAAAAAAAATCAAACTTTTATTGCAACATATAAATCTTATTTATAGAAAACAAGTACGCAGCAATTTGTTGATCGAAGAAAAAATATTGTTGGAAGAAATGCTTCATTTTTTAAATGCCTATAGTTTACATTGTTTAATGCATGTTATCCCTGAATTATGGAATGTTTTTGCCGATCACTTGTCAAAAGTTAGTTTGTTTTCTAGAAATATTCACTCTGTGAATCTGATTTATGTTTACTTTATGCAATTTGGATCAATTTAAAATTCTCACATTTAAAAGCATTCTCAAATAGTTTTTCCATAGAACCTAGTGAAACAATTATTTAACTTTATTTTAATTTTTTAATATAACTTTATTTTCATTAATTAATAGCAACTTTCATGTATAACAGAAGCTTGCTGTTATATTCATTGAAATTATTACGATAAAATGTTACTGAATGAATTAGTAAAGTAGTCATTTAGAATTAAATTATCTATTTGACTAATTTCTTTTTTTTCAGTCAGAAAATCTTGAGAAAATATTGTCATTGCAAGATTCTTTCATAGCTGATGTAGTGGCTCAATGCCTTTTGCCCGATGCGAAATTCACGGATCTCTTATCGAATTTAGTTACTGCTATCCGAGATTTCGTTACTGAAAAAGTTGTATGTCTTCTTTATAAAATAGTGTAATAAGATTTTAGTAATTCGAGATAAATTTCACCCCTTAGTCGGTGGATAATTCTCTAGTACTTAGTGAAAAAAGTAATGGATGCACATCTCTTCAGTTTTATTCATACACCTTTAGTTCAAACGCTCTTTAAAAAAATTGGTCTTTTTCATTAGTTTATGTACCTGATATACTGAAGTTGTAAGAAGTCCATTTCCAACTCATTTTGTTCAATAGATTGCTTTTCATAAAATTCTTTTTTTTCAAGGACAAATTGCATTAAAAGATTATTTGATGAAGGTTCTATACTTACTGATGTAATTTTTTTTTACCATCATATCTTCAGAAGTACGAGATGTCGAAAACAAAATGGAAAGTAAATCTCGAAAAGATGTATCATCTTCTTTCACAGCCAAATGTTGACATTTCTTATTCTCAGTTACATTCCAGGTTCAAATTTCATTTTTATGCAAATTTCGGTTAGCATAAAGACATTTTTTTAATGTCATGCAGGTTGTCAATAATTTGTGTGATTCTTCCTCAAAATTCATTTTTAAAAATTTTCAGAATCTTTTCTCGATATTATTGATAATTCAGAATCATGGAAGAGGCTCAGGTTTGCAGGTGGAAGTTATCTTTGACATATCATGATATTGATATCTATGCAGATGTGCTCATTCTTTAATTGACAGATAGGCTCTGGACAATTCTCTTAATTGGCCTCTGCAAATGATAGCTTTATTGCACTCTCAAAAAAATTAAGCTTTGTTGTATGATTTTCTTTCATAGTCAGTTGTGCTTATTTTTTTAAAAGTATTTCTAAATCTTGTCTTTGAAGTGCTTTTTGATTATGTAATCTTGTAAATTTAATTTAAATTTCTTGTATAGGACGTGGTCTTGATTCCTCTCTGATATATTCTTTCTCGTTCATATATACTGCTGTGCAATATTTTGTTGTTTCCAAAGAATATATCCAACAGTAATTATTTTTATCTTTGCTGGTACCTGATAAATTATACTATAAATAAGAAAATTTAGACTGGAATTGTTATGAAGTTTTTTTGTTTTCTTTAATAAATTGATGATTTATTGTTAATGGAGCAATATTAAATTATGTTTTCTGTTTCAAACCAGTCACGTATGCTCATTTCTTTTTTATTTTTTGCAATCACAGAGATTGCAATTAATTTCATTGCAGGGTTTTGCATACTTATTTTCTACGTCTTTTCTCCCACCACCAATTTTTTCAAAAGATAAAATGCTATCTTGTGAAAAAACGAGAAAAAAACAATGTAAACTTTCGATTAGACTTTGCCTCTTTATTTAAAAGGTGAGATAGTGTCTAAATTTACGTAATATCTTGTAATAATTGGTAATCTCGTTTTCAAAACATTTTACATTATATTGGCTTGATGAATTTTAAAATTTAGCTTTTCACGTTTGCGGAAATTTGGTAGTTATTGCAGATTAAAATTAACACTTAAATTTAAAAACTGTTTGTTTGCCGAGAAATGTGCTTGTTATGTTTATTTTTTGACTTCTTCATCATAATAGCAGTTGAATGCTCTATAAAGACATTTGATGCGTTTTATGTTCATTTTTAGAATTGAGAAAAATATTTTTACAGCATTATGAGAGAACTTTTTAGTAATATTGTTAAGTCGACAATCGGACATTTATCTACCTTTCAGACTCACGTATTTTAGTGGTGTTAATTAATAGTATTTATTATTGCTGAGTCTATGCAAGTGGTTACTTTCAAGTAATCAAAAAAAGTTGAAGAAAGGGTAGTATCTTGGTTGTTAAAGATCCAAAAGTATTAATTCAAAGAAGAAGTAGATTGAGGTATTCGCCAGTTTTTTAAGCTTTTGAAAATAACGTTAGAAGTTGAAAAATAGCGTAATTTGGATTCGATAGTAACAAATTTTTCTCGAAGTTAAAGTGAAAGGTGCATAAGTAGATGAAATTAATCAAAGCAAAACGGGCAATTTCCAACAGTGCAAATAAATATGCATATTTAAGTTATGATAAGCAGGTGGCTTGCAAAGTACGCTAATGCATAGTACGAATATAAATTTGGCAGTATGCTACATATATTAATGCATAGGAGTCATAAGAGCATATTTGTGTGTGACAAGTGTGAAGTCTCCTGTAATGGTCATCTGAAGTTCTTCTGAAGATTACATTAATTATATGAAGTTTTGCAAGTAATACTTGCAGTAATTTTGTGATAGAGTTAAATTTCAAAATTTTCACTCACTCTCATAATTGAGTGTAATTATCGAAGCTGTAAAAACAAATTTAAAAGTAATAGTCGCAAAGTGTTTATTTTATGATTTCTAAGTAGTTTGAATGCGAAAACACTGACTTATGCATGAAATTAATCAGTAATGCGAAATACATACTGCTTATGCTTTGTTATTTGAAGGGTTCAAATACTTTGTTTTTGCTTTATAATTAAAAGCAGGTAGTGATGACTTATTAAGATTGAAATGTTATGGACTAGTTTTTTGCATAACTTGATAGTACTTAATTAAAGTATAGAACTTTTTTGTTTTTGTGTTCTTTGCGTGAACTTTCACATACATTTATACAGGTTTAACATTGCAAAAGGACATTTTAGTTGAAAAGTAAATAGAAAAAAATTCTTCAATTTTTGATATTATTTAAATTCGACATAAATTTAAGTAAAATATCGCAACTTTTAGTCATTTTTTGTACACAAAATTCCACTAAATTTTAATCCTATTTGATACATCTTACTTGATTCATATTTGATGCATCTTACTTGATATTTGATATATCTTACTTTACAAATAAAAATAAGTACTACTTACTTCAGTAATTGTACCCCATTAAAGTATTCGAAATAGTTCAAAGTTAGAAATATTGATGCGAAGTGAATTTTTTGGCTCATTTAAAATTGCTAAAACTTTTTGCTCTGATTTTTTTGTTTTTGAAAAATTGATTAAGTCTGAAATACACCAATTCCAAAAATCCTGGTGATCCAATATGCCGCATAAAATAATGAAATCCAAGGATATATGTAGTTAACATTTAACTTATATAATTTGAATCCACTATCCGTTAATATCTGTATAAGGGAGTTTTAAAAGCATGTAATTCCCGGGAAATATGATGTGGATTTTTTTTATTTTACTTATTTTTGCACTAATTAGCATTTAAAGGCAATAAGTAAAAAACAAAATGCTTAATTCAATTTTAAAATTTTGCGCTGAACTTGCGATTGTTGAAATCTGCTACATGAGTAAAAAAACATGAGAAAAAAATGACAGTACAACGTATATCATTCCTGAAATTTTAAATAAAATTCGAATCAAATATTATGTATATAATTTTTGAGTATACTCAAAAATATATATTTGAATCCCTTCATTCTGAACCGATCAGTCATTATACGCAAATAGAACAAATGAGGTTGTCATGACTTTAATTTTATCAAATTGAAGAAAATACGTGAATAAAGGCTCAAAGTATTGTTTACTTTGAAAGTAAGTAAAAATTATTGGAAGAAATCTTAGGGAATATCAAAAAACATGCCTTCAAAACATGAAATATAGCACGAAATTTTTTCCCTGCCTTTATCACACTTACATCTTATTTCCCTTCAAGCTCATATCAAATATATCAAAGTAATAGCTAATTCTAACTTAGACCGAACTCAAAAGTTTGATGGTGCTTGCATGTCCATAAACTTCATATATTCAAGTACAATATTTAAAAAAAAGTGCAATTTACTTAACCCTTTTTCTTATTCCTCATTTCTTAAAGTGAATAAGGAATACGAATAATTTTTTCAAGAAATGTGAAATGTTTATTCCTTAAAAATACGTAAAAATGAAAGAGAAATAAAGCAAACACTCAGAAGTTAATAAGTAAGAAAGTAAGACAGACAAATTCTGAAAATGAATACAGAAAGCAATAAAATATTATGAGAAGGACTAAAGTTTTACTTATGCTTTTTGCTAGCAGCTTGTAGAACTTTAAATTCGTGAAATCGAATGATTTTTGATTAATAATGTGAATTCAGTAGTGAATCTGAAAGTCTGAAATTTCAAATTAATCAGCTGAGTGGTATAATTTGTCACGGCAAGTAGAATAAAAATTTGCATGATAAGTTTGCCAATGAACTAAAACTTTGAAATTAAATGTATGATAATAATCATAATAATAATAATACATATAAAAGATTGATAAAAAGTGAATGAAAAATAATAGATTTGGGATTAATTTTTCAAAAAAATGAAAAATTTTAGACCGATTCTCATGCATAAAAAATATAAACCATTTTTAGTCAAAATAATTGCAGCAACTAAAAAATTTAACCAAAAAGCAAACAAATAAAAACATGCAAACCTTAAAATCTTCATAATTATATATTGTCACTTATAGACTTCAAATCTCTGAACAAAACAGAAATTCTGAAGGCTAAGTTTAAGGAAATATGAGAACTTGAGCATTTTCAGAAAATCTTTTATCCTTGAAACAGATAATTTATTGATTATCATCAGATTCAATAATCCATATATCTCTTGTATGCTTTAAAAGATTTAATGACGGGAAAATACAGTAAATTTTTGTTTTATTTATTTGAAATAAGATTAGTTCTTGCGCTCATTGAGATATTATTAATATGCTATAATAAATATTATATGACAATAAATATTATATTATAATAAGTATAATTGTATGGTACGCAAAAATATATAATTTTAAGATATGCAAAAATATGTATTATAGTTTTTAGATGGGCAAAAATGAGTATTTTATCCGAAATTTTGTTATTATAATAAGCATTTTTTCTTCAAAAGATAATCGTCTAAAATTGCCCATTTCGTTTTTGCAAGATGTCTGTTTCGTTTTTACATAGTCTAGAATTGACAAATTTTTGGAAACCCAAAAATGGACTAAAGGGTGGGAAATAAAAGGAGCAAAAAAGGCTAAGCAAATCTAGGCTAGTCTTACTGCATACATTTAGCCCAGTTACTTTTATTCTCACTTCCATTTAACTTATAGCTAAGCCAAGTAAGCTTTTTCTTGTAATTTTATTTTGCATTACATAAATGCATTCTCCAATATCAGCATTTTACTATACAGTATCAAATATGCATTAATATTATTCAAATAATTACTGATTGACTGATTTGTTATAATAATCCATGTTATAATCCTTTTAAATGCATTATTAGATTAGAATCATAGGATTTTTTTCTTGTAACAAAATATTGTTGTACACATTTTTAATTATGAATTATTATTCCATTAAAAAATGCTTGATGTGATTAGTAAGATATTGGATAATGTATAGATTCATCAAATATATTGCATGATAAACCTCTGGTTTTTGATAATGTTTTTATTTGGAAGAAGTTCTCCAAAATTTTGTCTGTCTTATTTCTATGCAGATATATGACTACAAAGTTACTGGTCAGTTTACTGGTCAGTGTTTCCCTTACATGAATGAATAATGACCAATTTACAGATATTACTTGGCAATGAATATATTCCTTTCGTGCTCGATTTTCTACTTTTTTATTTACGCATGTGGTAAGTTTTTAAAATTAACACAAAAAATTGCAATTTTTATTTAGCTTAATATTCTCTGATACATTTTTCATAGTAAAATAACGCATCATGAAATGTTTGTAATACAGGTATAATTAAAAGCTTATTTAGTGATTTTTATCCTTTTTAATTGAAATAAAATTCAAATATACTTTTTATATTCTAAAAATATAAGTTATTCTATCAATGCACGCTTTATAAGCAATAAAACAATCAGTTATTGCTTAATTTATGCTAATATCAAAATTCCTTTTTTGGCACAATTTTAATTCAAATTTTTAGCATCCTAAATTCTAACAGAGGCAAATTTACAGAGTTTGACTATTTCTTATATTTTAATGTGAAATAAAAAAATAACTGTGCCAAAAAAGGAATTTCGATATTAGCATAAATTAAGCAATAACTGATTGTTTTACTTTGTCTTACTAAGCTAATTTTAAACTTATTTATAAGTAATCTTTTTTATATTTACTGTATATTCCAAGTTAATTAAAAAACTAGTTAGAATCAGAAATCGAATTAATTTTAATTCGAATAAATTGGTTATTAAAATACAAGTATTATAACCAACACGTACTTCAAAAAATATAAAAATTGAACGTAAACATAAACAGACATAACGTAATCGTTTCAAAAATAAATAATTTCCGTCTCATATTTGATTTAATAAGGAAAATAAAATGACTGGAAAGAAATTATTATTTTCGATAAAATTTTGTTTATGCAAACATTCCTTTTTCCAATTTACTTCGCTTATATGCAAATTCTGAAGCAAATATTAAATTTTATGGCTTGAAGTTGGTTGAAAAAAAAGCAAAGTAAGTAAGTTATACTTTTTATTATTGATTTGTACAACAAATATTTATGTATTAAGAAAATACCGAACAGCTATCACGAAAAAGCATGGAGAAGAATTTGAAGTCTGTCTTAATTATGTTTCAAATTTTATTTTTGATATTAAATTAAAAATTTAACTAATTTTGAGTTTTCGCATTAAACTCCTAAAAGTTAGTAAATATGTTTTCACTTTGACTTTAAGTCATTAGTGTCCACGCATTACAGTGATGGTAACGTCTTTATCCTTTTAATTGCATACTTCAAATTTGAATTAATGATGGGTTTTGAGTTATAGTTTAAAATTTTTCCGTTTCCTTTCTAGTTCAGTTTTAATTTTTCTTTGGATAAAAAATTAACTGATTTTTTTGAATTTACACTTCATTTTTAGGCATATTTGGATTAAGGTCACGTCTGAGCAGATATAGGTCAATTATTCCAAACAGCATCAAATGTAATAAAATAAATAGCTAATGAGTTCCACGTGTCCTTAAAAAAATAGCAAATGACTTCCACGTTTTCCTAAAACATGCATGAACTTTTCATTCAGTTTGAAATCAGTTAATTTCAAATACAGAATTTGTTAAACATTTCATTTCAAACTTTTATTTTCGCAAAAGCTTTTTCAATTTAAATTCAAAAGTTATAGATGAAATCAAGTTCGAAACACTGTATTCAAACCTGCTTGTTGGTAATTAATAATTTATAATGAATTCAATTCATAAACGCAAAGAAATAGAGCTTATAGCTTATTTTTGTTGGAAATTACTTCATTATTAAATATTTCCTTAATAGCTAATTAAGTAATTTCGTTTTGACTTTTTTAAATATTATTTAATTAGCAATAAAAGTGTTTACATTATGATAGTAGACTAATTATTAAATGAATTTTGAAAAAAGTAATACAAATTTCAATTTTTTATCAATGATTGGGGAAATTCAAAATTGCAATGATGTAATATAATTGCAAAAAATGCAGTAATTCAATTCAATTTTCTGCTGTTGCCTGGAATTGAAGATGACTGACAACATAAATTTGAATTCAAATAACAAAAGAGAACTAATAAAGTAGCATCTTTGAATAAATTGTCGCACAATTTCTCAGATTTAACTTTTTTTATTGAAGACTTATTTGAATACGTAGTTATTATTTGAATTTAATGCTATATGTGTATTAAAAGTAAAATTCAACGTCTTAGGCATTACTTTGGGACAAAAAGGGCATTCTTCAGCGTTGATTAACACGGATGACGAAGAACTCGAGAGGTGAAGCTTAATTTTGATCACATTTACGTCAAAATAAGTTTTGAAAAGTGTCAATAATTTATCATTTTTTTAAAAAGAAAGCTATGTAAGCTTTGCAAAGCTTTTTAGTTGTGTAAAATGAAAGTAATCACAAATTTGTGCTGAAAAAGATAAATTTACAGCAGTTTATTTTAAACGTAAAGTTTCAAATTTACGCATACAATAAATGCTAATAATAAATATTTGTGCAACAAAAATTACTGTCGCATTGTATATATCACTTTTGCATGAGATTTTATCCAATTTTTTTTGACGAGTAATACCGGCGGAAAAACGAGCTGGTGCGCGAGCATTTGGCCCATCACGTTCACGTGATTTTGAAAATTACTTTTTTCCAAGCAATAAACGACACGAGACCTTCAGACCCTATTATTATTACTATCAGCAACCAAAACGTGCTGGAGCACGAACATTTTACACGTATTGGAATCCATTGAATACCATAGACACGAGGTCATCATAAATGTTATTATACATTTATTTTTTCCTAATTAAAACTGTTTAATAGTGAAAGAATATTAAAATTATTATCACATTAATAATCAAAAATCTTAGAATAAATGTCTACATTGAATTTTTATTTTTGCTACAGTCAGTAGTTTAACTTTATGTAAATAAACTTTTTTATTTCAGAAGTAAATTGAGCTCAGAATTATGCAAATAGACAACATTTTTTATTACAACTATGACAATAAAATTAATCCATCATTCTTCCACATATTCTGCTTAAATATCAGCTATAGCCAAATATTAATCGGTCAGAACGATTGATTTCATTTATTTTTATTCGTTTCAGATTCAATGAAGAATCGCCATTTTACGCAAAACGTTCAGTTCTACGTGATTCAGACGACTACTCATATTAATGGACTGAAGCAGTAAAAGCATTGATTGATAGCACTAAACAATTTTTGAATATTTTATCATAAATTTTGGAATTGATAAACTTTGTAATTTGCGTTAATTGCTAATGATGAAGTTAAAACTTGATAAAGTTTCTGAACTTTTTGCTGTTTAATGAATGTGTAGTTAGTCTTACTCAAAGTTTTTTGATAGAATTCTGAGTTAATAGTCTGACAACAAAACTGAATATGCACCAATTGAATATTAAAAAACTAAAGAAAAAATATTTTTAATAAAGCAAAGTTTGCATCAAAAATATAACGAAAAAAGTTGATAGATTTTAGAACTTAAAAATTCAATAACAAAAATTTTTTCATACCAAAAATCAACCAATATTAGTAGGATATTAATTTTTGCTCAACTTAAACATGCCCTACTGCTGACCTCCAAGTTGACCTTGGTAAAGATTTATGGAGGTCAGGATAAAAATATATGATCTTTGAAGTGCAAAGAAAGATTATAATTAAATAAATGTCTTTACTTTATTCTTGATTTGATGGATTTATTAAGCACACAAATAAGAAAAGCAATTCAGATTACTAATAGCTTACTCATTTACAGTATATAATTAAGTTTTGAGAAGGTGAAATACTGAAAATTGAAGAAAAAATACTGTAAATTGTGACTATTTAACTTTCCACTGCATACAGTAATTAATTAATTGATTTCTGTATTTATTATAGTAATCAATTTATGAATGAGTAGAATTAAATTTTTAAAGAGAATTTAAGACAGAATTCGCATAGATTTGAATTCATACTTTTGACGAAAAGCATTAATAACATTTTTAGTATTTTGCAAGCAGATAACTGATATTTTTGTTGATATCGAAACGGTTTATTGAAGGTAAAGCGAAAATTGTTATTGTGATTATTAACAATTTTGAGATTTATTATTATTATTATTATTATTATTATTATTATTATCATCATTGGTATTATTATTAGTTTCATTACTGCAAAGCTTTTGAAGATATAATATAAACTGTTTAGTATATTATGTAACACGGAATATTTTTGAGATTTGTCAAAGATCTCAATGGTAATGAATTAATTAATAATAATACTTGATGATATATTTCATTTTCTACTGGTTAAACTTTTCTGGGAGAGGCGCGAAATTTTTCAGATGATTAAGGTTAGTCATTAATTTTTTAAGAAATTAATAGTTAAAAATACAGACAAATAAAAATATTGGAAAGTCTTCAGTTGCAATGAAAAAATTTTTAAATCCAGTTTGAAAAAAATCTGAATCTTTCAAATGTTTACAGTTCTGTCATTAATTAACAGAATTATCAAAGAGCTGCTTATAGTCATTAAAATGCATAAAAATTATTACTTAATTAAAGTTTAATTTAATTATTCTGGATCAATAATGATAGAAGCACTGCTTCTGTTTTGATTTATGAAAGATTTTCATTTTGCATTGAAAATAACAAAATTACTGAAAAAAAATTAAAAAAATAATAAATTAAAGACAAATTAAATTCACTCATGACTGATTAATGATTAGTGGAAGACTGCTTTATTTTATATATTTATTAATATATTTCTTTAAAAGTAGTGATTACTATAACGACAGTAATAATGACAATATTTATGTAAAGTATTTCAATGATTTTAGCGATATAACTGAAAAATTTTGAAAGAGTCGAAAACGAAATTCTGTTTTTAATTATTTCAAACTATGTATTACTGTTTACTTCAGTTAAGTTACTACTGAATTCTTTCTTGTCTAACTTATTGTATTAATTTATTTCAGAAACTGAAACATATTTATTTCAGATATTTTGCTCTCTCAAAAAACTTTAAAGCAATACAGTATCACAAGTAGTGGTTGCTGTAATGACCGTAATAATTGCAATACTTATGTATAATCAAATAATTGCGACTAGAGCATTAAAAACATTGAAGTGATTGAACTACTATGAGTATAAAAGCTTAAATTGTTATGCATAAAAAATAAAAAGTCATCAGTTACAATTTTTTGCCAATATGAAATGTTCAATTCATTTTAAATAAGTTTGAATCTTCAAAATATTCTTAACTAATTCAGGAAAGAATATTAATCTGACGTTACAGTTATTACCGTGATAATAATAAAATTAATCTTAATTTTATCATATTATTTTTGTTGAAAAATCCTTCAACGTAAGAGTAGTGAAGAAATAAAATTTTGTACAAATAAAATTCATTAAATTCTATAATGAATTAATGAGAAACATCTTATTATTATTTTTATGCTTATTTGTTGAAGTTTAGATATTTTGATTGAAAATACAGTATCATTTGAAAAAGAAATATTTATTCTTTGAAAGTATTCCATTTCAATATTTTCACTAAATTCATTTAATTCATATTTTTTTATGAAATTCAATATTAATTTCAGTGATATTCTACTGATCAGTGCAGATTTGCTTTTAATTAATTATATATTATTTTTAGAGAATAATAACAATCTAAAAGAATCATTTTATTAAAATTAAAAACCAATCACGACAATGTATTTTATTTTATATTTGAAAATTATTAACAATATTAAAAATATTATTCAGTTTTTTAAAGTTTTTCAGATTTTTTTTGATATTAAGTACTTATTTTTGAATACTAAAATTAAAATAAAGTAATAGTACTACGGTAATTCGAATTTTTTTTAATAATTTCTTTGTTGAGCACTTTTTTGACTTTGACTTTGAGACAAAAAAAAGCATGCAAAATTGATTCCTTCAAAATATTTAAATTAAGTTTTCAGAGTGAGAAGTTAAATTTAAATTTTTAACAATTATTAATGTAAATTTCAAAAAGGCTAATTTATTTATGAACAATTAAAAAAAGTGCTCGCAATTTTTTAATTTCAATAATATAAAAAAATTCAAAATTTCCAGTCTTTTATGGCAATTTAGTTTTAAGTGCTTTTAAAACTGCTAATTGGATTATAACTAATATAAAATTATCATTTTTAACAATCTAATTAGTGAGTATTAATTGATTACCAGATAATATTCTTGACAAGCACAATATCTCACATAATTATTTTTTAATTCTTGAATAATTTAAATTTCATTCTTATACATTTTGTGATATTATTTATTTTCATTTTAAAAACTGCTATTAAGCATCTAAAAATATCCTTTCAATTTTCTATTATTTTAAACTATTTTGAAAAAAAAATTAGTTTCTAAAAATGCAAAATTTTGTTTTTGCGTAAACTTTTTAATTATCAACAATAAACATTAAACAACCAAATATTTTGTCACAATTTTTATTTTCGAAAATAAATAATACAAAAACTTTATTGTTCTTGCAATTAATCATTGAATTTATAGCTAATTTGTATCTTAGAATGCTATTTTTCAATGCACTATTAAATGTTATAAATTACTAATAATTTTTGAATAGTTTTCGTATTATTCCTAATATTTATCATATTGCTCATTTATTACTAATACATGAATTAGTAATGCCCACAACTTTTATTTTTATTATAAATTTCAAATAAGTTTTTCATATTTTTCATTTGACGTAAATTGAATAAAAATGACGCTTAAGGCATTATAAGTCTTAATTAGTATTGCCATCAGTATCATAAACTTATCAGCATTTAACTCTCAACATATTGAACTTTGATACATATGCTTGATAAAATTTTAAAAAAATGATTTATTTATTAAAATAATATTTTTTGTTCTTTTTTAAAATAGTTTTCAATTTAATAAGTACAATTTTTAGCAGCCTTTTATCAAACTTATTCAGTAAACAATACTTACAACTTCAGGAATTACTTTTAAGTCAGTACTTTTATTATTATTAAGTTATCTAATTATCAACATTTAATTACCAACATATCAGACTTCAATACATTAAAATTTTAAATTTTTTTCCAGAATTAATTTTTGTATTGAAAATTATGTCAAAAATACGAAAAACAGTTACAAAACGCGTTAGCTATATATAAAGCTATTTAAAATGCTATTTAATTATTTGTGAACTTCAAGCCTGAATGGAATTGGTTAAGTAAATACCTGAATTTTTGATTAAGTACAATCAACTTGGAATAGAAATAATTATTTATAACGTTAATTATCATACTTGATTACATATGCTTGATAAAATTGCAACATCTGTCACATACCTAAACAATTCTTTAAAATTGTATTTAGCATAAATGTTGTCGAAAATTTTAGTACTTTGTATAAATTACAAATTTAGATTATTTATTAATAATTATTCCTTAGACAGTTAAGGAAGTAAGTTATCCAGCAACAACTATTTAACTAGTCTCATTTTCTATTTGTATGATTTTAAACGTTAATTATTCACAAATATTATGCATAATTTTGGTTTTAGATGAAAACTTTTTCAATAAAAATTTTTATATTTTTTGAACGTAGTTCATTTAAAAAAAACAATGATTATTAGATGACTTAATACTAACAAAAGTACTTGATAACTTACTTCCTTAACTATGTAAAGGATATTTTTTAATAAATAATATTATTTTGAGAAGTTCTAGTTTTAATAAATATTATTCTGTTATTTATAATTATGGATTTTAATAATTTTTTTAGACTTCTAATTTAGCTGACATCAATTAATTTCATATCAAATTTAATCTGATAACCAATTCACAATTAAAAAAACTATAACTTTAATCTGATTGTTAAAATAAATGCGGTTATTGAAGAAAAACTCGTACAAAGCTACATTTAAGTTATATTTTTTAGGTAGTTATTGATAGCAGAACGAAATTTTTAAATTAATTCGTTTTTTGCAAAAACTTTCAGCAATAAAACTGGAATTACGATCGTATAAAGTAAAAAAAAGCAGAGTATAGAAGTATAAAAATAGTTTTCAGTTTAAATTGTCATAAAAAGTGATAAAATATTAATTTTTAAAGCGGCTATAAAAATAAATGATTAATTAGTTCAGAATTTAATGAAGTAAAGACAAGGTTTAGAAAATGT